GATTGCTTTTAATTTTTACCAAATTTTTAATATCGCCTAAATATAAAGCAAATAAAACCAAATACATCGGGTTTTAATTATAATCTAAGTAATGTAACTTGTAACTAAATTTAAACGATCGATTAGGAAATTATTGCTATTTATAGCTAAATACCGGTACTATACTACAATATCAAGTTGTTCTTATCATATCTAGACAGTGACTACTGTATACCTGTATGTCTATTTTTAAAATACTTTGAGCGAGGGTATTGTCATTATAATGATTCATATAGAAATATAGAATTATATTATGGTCTCCGATTGGACACTAACATTCACATTCAGCGCACGCTGCACTTATGCTAACATCAACTGCGTTAATACTTGTACAATTTATAGTATTTATACATTTTATCTTATATATTTAATATTTAAATTAATTTTAAAATGGCACCTCTCAGTGTATGTACCAAAAGAAAACTAAAATTACAAAGAGAAGAGAAAATGATAAAATATGTTATTATTAGGTTATATACATATATATTTGTAGAAATGATACGCTGATAACTACCTTTTTATAATATAAAAAAGTCCTGGGAGGAGGGGGCCCACCTAACATTGGCCCACCTAGTGAATATTTTCTGACTACATGCCTGGTACTCTGTAACAGTTCAGAATAGTTCAAATGAACTATTCGTTCACGAACTTAACATCTTTAAATATGAGCTCAATAATCTATTGATATTTATCGGATTAGCTGGATGTTAATAGTAACTTAGATACCAGATACGAGAGAATGACAATTAGGCTTTGTAGTCGTCGCACAAACTATTTGTCGATATATTTCATAATTTTATAAGTTCTACATATTTTACAATTTTTTTTATACATATATACATTGTACAGGTATTAAATATTTATATATAAGTCCTACATATGTATTTTTAATTTTTTATTCATATTATATATTACATATTATTGGACGCTTATTTGTATACGATTATAATTATTAATTTATGAATTTTTTCAAGAATATTTATTGTATGTATACGGAATTTTTCAAAAGCCAAATAAATGGTATGGCAAACTATGGCAACGTTGCACATAAATTCGTTCTCAATCGTATTGTTTTTTGGGTTTTTTTTTGGGCTAGCAGTAAGTTCATTGTTATTTGTAAGTGTTCTTAATCATTCGGCTAAAAAGGTATAACGTTCTCAATCGTTCGATAGCCAGTTGTATTACTAGAGGTTCAAATTTAATTGAATTGATTGAATTGATTAGATGGGACATTATTTCCAAGAAAAGGTTTCGAATAATGGTGTTGTCAAAGGAATCTTTGCAGTGATGAGTTAGTTTTGTATTAATATGTTGTGTGACCACAATCAAGGGGGAAAAGTATGTTGTATTTTCCTCAATCTTTGTGATATCTTATTGCCAAAAATCCAATTTTTATCATCAAATCTTCAAATTTTTTTAATAAATTCTTTTACAGTTTCTAATAAAATATTGATTATTTTGAAATAATAAAATATGTGACAAGAATGTATAGACTAATGCAAGGTGAATATATTTATATACCTTGAGTCAATAGAGGAGAATTCTGAAAATACCATAATTTGAAAAATATGCACCTTCGGATAGGTTATACATTTATAATAATAAAATAACAAGTTAAGAATATACTTAATTGTTTCGTCTGATAATACTATCAATTTACACGAAGTACTAACATATTATTAAAATTGATGATAGAACATATTATGAATGATCAGGGGTGACTGAGGCCCGGAAGGCCAAAACGGCACCCATCAGTCCACCCCTGTGAATAATCAACTTTTCAAGTAGGTACGTCATATATTTAATTTTTTTTTTTTTTTTGGTTCACGGCCTTTCAGACCACACATCTAAACATAACTGCCTCAATTTTTCCCGATTTTGCGCTATCATATGCCAGTCTTCATCCGGGTAGAAGTCTGCAACATCCTTTTTGACACAATCCTCCCATCGCATTCGGGGTCTTCCTAGTGATCTTTTTCCTCTTTAATTCTCTCGTAGAACCGTCTTTATCATAGCATCAGGTATATTTATATATATTTTATTATTATATTTTATTCATACATTCTTTAATAGTAGGTACAAACGAGAGTCAATACAATAGTACATTTTTTTATTGTATTTATAGTTTATTTATATTCTATATATTTCAGAACTTAAAACACGGGTAATTAATGCCAAATACGAAAATGTGCCGACAGCGGCTGTCAATATCTTACTGACGTCAAACTTAACCTTCTTTACATTTTCGAACTATTTTTAAAAAAAAATGTCTTGGTTTTCTGCCGATAGCTGATATTTGTTTTTATTTCCATTAATACTACCATATAATATTCTAGTATTGATAATCAGTGATATTATATATACTATGTAATATACATATCTTTTAAATATTATATAGCCGCATGTCTATACTATGCCGTTTGTATTGAAAATTCTGTTTGTTTTTCGGTTTGCGATTATTCTTTCATCATAGCTTCAAGATTACTATTGAAATGTTGATATAATATAGCCTACAGTTATATTTATTTAATATATAAATAAATAAACAAATATTTAGTAAAATAGTTTATAGATAGTTTATAAATAGTTAATACATAGAAATTAATAATTAAATAAATAAAAGCTTAACTGAGAATATTATTATATTTGTAAAGTACGACCGGTTTCGAATAAAAAATTCATTCAAAAATTTGTCAGGTGTGTACAAAGTCAATAAAATCGCGACTGAATATGAAAAAAGATAGTCCCGATTTATTAAATTATATACTTGACGATGCATTTCTAATTTGAAACTGGTACTTTACAAATAAAATAATACTGAAGACTAAGCTTTTATTTATTTAATTATTTATTTCTATACATAGATTATTTGTTTATTTATTATACATTAATTTACAAGTCGTAATCATTTAATAATTTATAGATTAATATAATACGTTGTAAAAATTAAATTTAATTTTTATTAAAAATATATAAACATGCTAAAAATTTTAATTCAAATTATGAAGGAATAATTGCTCCAAAATAGTACCTTTTTTACGTCACTGAAGGTAGGTGTATCGGTATATGAAAGCAACGCAATAGCAATTTATAAATACATGTGGTGCACATTAGTGCGATAGTTTTGACGTATTTACTCATGCGACATGTGTCAAGGGATTAAGTGAATAAACTAAATGCACTAATACACTATATACAGAAGAAGCATAAGTAGAACTATATTTAAGTCTTTCAAATTATTTTAAGAGGGGGGAGGCTGTTATATTGATTAATGGTCATGTATATAGTCGTACAGAAAACTAATACGAAATAAGTTAGATATATTATTTCAACTCTTACAAATCCTTATTTCTTTTTCGTGAATGCTTAAAACATGATACATGCTTATCTCACAACGTACGTAATGCGTGATGACAGTTAAATTTTAAAAAATAATAAACTTAAAATTCAATGGAGTTCACTAAATATCAAAAAGTTATATCAACAATAAATAAATAAATAACCCGCTTCTAGCTGGGCAAATTATACGACATATTATTATGACCAGAATAAAAATTGTAGAACACTCATTTGACAGAAAATGTTTTTATATTTTATCTATTTATTTATTTAAAAATGTATTTATCAAAAGATTAAAACAGGTTAAAACCGATTAGAACAGACCGATCCCGGAGGATATTTTCTGGATGAGGGGAGATAAACTAACGTGGTGATATGCCATAGGAATAAATAATTAATAGATTATTTAATTTTTATCGGGGAGGAGGGATAATTTCAACCTTAAACCCTCGGTCATCACCTACAATAGCTGGTGTCTAAAGATTTCCTAACCAACTTTGGCGATTAAAAATCACTAGATTACAGAGAGTTACCTCTAAGTATTCATTCACCAATGTGGCTCATTGATAACAAAAAAAAAAAAAATTAAAAAAAGAAGGTATCATAGATTAAATGCAGCGTTACATTTCTGACCTATGGTAGGTGTACCGTATGAATATATAAATAAATAATTTGCTCGCAATATTTATACGTTTATAGATCACGAGGTGCAAGGATTGGAATTAAAACCGATACAGGCACAGACACGGTCGTGTAGTTTACGTTGTCTTGCTGAACGCTGCACGGTACGAAGCACGTTGGAAGATGAGATTACGAAAAGACGCGGGCGACGCAAGAAGCGTGGCGAAACTCGGCGTTTTTCGCGGCTCACGTTGCCGCAACTGCGCACCCCCTACTGCTGCGTCGCCATCGCGTCGAGATAGTGCCGCGATGGATTATTACAGGTACGCGTGATCCGTCTCGCATAACCGTACATTATTCACACGTATTGCGCGTGCGTGCAACGTTCCACGTTTCGTCCACGATGCCCCGGAATATAACCTAACAAACGGGATTTTCATAACTCCGGCAGGACTAGGGGAAAAGGTAATCATCGTGCTTGGGGAGGAGAAAAGAAAATTCTTAAAATAAACCGTCGTCGCGGTGAAGACTTGTACGTGGGGTGGGGGGATTGATGGCCCCCGCGTCGGGGAATCGGTGAAACGGAATCTCGCCGGCGACGCGCGCGCGGTCCGATGAGCCGGCGGCTCGGCCGCGTGGTCCGCGTTGGCGGCAGGACGTGACCGCGCGTATTATTCTGTTCCATGCGCTAGCCCGGTGACGCGTATCACGCGACGAGGCACGGTAACCGCGGTAGTGGCGCGCGGGTCCCGGTTTGGAAGAACGGGCCGCCCGCACCACCGGGCGCCGACCGAGCGCGCGCGAAAGTTTCGACAGAAAGCGGTCGCTGCGGACTCGATCTCTCCACCGCCGCCGCCGTCCGTCGCCGGACGCGCGCGCACGTCCTTTCATCGCGCGACTGGCGCCGGTGCGTGCGCGAGCGCGTGTGTGCCAGCCTGGTCGCTGCTCCCCGCGCCTCCCCGCGTACCCTTTCACGGTCCCCGCCCCCCTCCTGCATCGTGACCGCTCCACCGCCGACCCCGACGAACGTGTGCGCCGCGCTCTGCTCCGCTGATCTGGCCCGTTTCGTGCGTTCACATTTTTTTTTTTTCCTTTTTTATTTTACTTTTACCCCGTGTGCCATCCGGACCTATCGTTTTCCGCACACGTAGCGCGCCCGGTAGTACTACCGTCTCTCGCAGCCGTTCACCGCGCGCGCGCACACGTACACGCACACGCACAGTATTTTAATATCATCGCGGTTGCCGTGATATTACATACCGCGGTACAAACGTATCGATACGTTTCGTCATATCTGCACTTATTAACCCTCGAACAATTTTTCCATCATGTACACCGTCACCGTCGTCAAAAACGTGCTCGTAAACTGCCCGCGCTGCTGATCAACGATTGTTGTACGAATACGACCGCACAGCCAACACCGCCGCCGTTGTCGAATCACGTGACAACACTAAGCCGTGACGCACCGTAATCCTGGCCGCCGTCGCTTTGTGAACTACCCCGTGCTCGATTCAACCCGTTCGCCCCCCAACTGTCGCAGTCGCGTGATCCGTTGAGACCACGTACAATGACGAACCAACCGCCTGGAGCCGTGTCCCCAGCAAAGGAGCCCGTCCGGGTGTTCGAAGGTGTCGTCAAACAGGTAAAACCAACAACAGAGCACGCGCGCCACGTTATTTTCTTGCCCGCCACTCGCAAGTCTTACGCTTCGCAACGTATAATTCTCCTCGAGGCCTCTTTGTCGAACGGGTTGAAAATGTCAGTAAAACGTTCCTTTACACCTTGACCCTTGTGTGTCTTCGCCCCATATGTGTCCAATTAGGTTATCTAGTCTAGTCGCCGATCCGATAAACGTGATTAGGTTAGGTCTTTACTACGGTGTCGTTCGGCTTACGAATTATAATTGTTCACTTGTGTTACAATAACTATTCCCGATACAATCATTACACAACCCACGAAGCAAGAAAAAAAAATAGTTAGGTTAACAGTTGATAATGTTGATTACATAATTCGTGTTTTAAAGTAACAGTTTTCTTGTTCGATTATGTAAATTTGCTTCCTATTGGTTTGAGTACTTAAACCTGTATCTAGGTACCTTAAATAATCTTTGGTTTTACAATTGTTATTTGTCTAATGTAAAATAACCATTTATTAAGTAATTTTAAAATCTGTGCAGAATTGCATAACATTCATTTAAAAATTAGATGTATATGTACCTCAGTTGTCTATGAAAATTACTAGGGTGCGAGACTTATAGTACACAAATTCTAGGTAATATGCATGCAAATATGCACTAAAAATAACCGAAATATGTGTAGAAACATGCAACTAAATATTTTTTTAATGAAAATTATAAAATTTGATTTATTCATTTAAATTTAGACCATTTTTTTTAATCATTATTTTTTTTACAACAATAATACTATAAACATTATATTATTGTGTATGTTCAATTTAATTTTCTACTACAATGAAAAATACAAACTGAATACTTATTTTCCTTTTAGATTCTCTAAATGATATACGTAACCGATAGAACACACAGAAACGATTAGGTATTTTCCTTGTTGCCCTACACTGACTCATTTTATGATTAGGTATATTGACCAATGTATTAAAGTATAAAAAAAAAAAAATGTGAACCTTAATATATCTGCTTTACATCAAACAAAAACCGCGTAAATATGTTATAAAGAATCATTAAATTGCTACAATTGGTCAAATATGGGTTTCACTCAGAAAACAGCGAAAATATGCAATTAAAATGTTTGTATTTCAATCCATTATGACTTAAAACAAATGTATATTTTATTTAGACTATTTTACAATCATTATTAAAAAATATGCAAATGCAACAAGTCACAAACTCTAATAATTACTAATGGATGTAAATATTGATACTTGATAGTTACTGGAATGTTTGAAAAATAATTAATGTGAAAGTTAATTGTCATTATAGTCTTAATACAATTGAAGTCAAGTACTTACCTTCAGTTAAAATATAATTTTTCAATTAATTGTTTAGGTTATACTTTAAATAAATGTTTATGTACCTGTATTAATATAAACATGATATAAGCAGACTTGGGTAAAATATTTTTTAAAAGTATTTAGAATAAATACTCAAATACTTACAAAAAATAGTATTCCGAATATGTATTCAAATATATTATACAAATTGTATTCCAAATACATTATTTAGAATACTTTTAAAATACTTCTAGTTTTCATAATATAAAAATAATAGATGTCCACTCAACAGAAATATTTGAAGTTGTAGACTAAATATATGTTATTTTATTATATTTTTATTTTACATAACTGTTATAGTTTATGGTTTACAACAGTAATAAATACCTGATATTAGCTTATACATGATACAACGGAGAAGTGATAAAATCATTTAAAAAAGAGATGATTTAACGGTATTCGAAATACAGTATTCAGAATACTCGTTATAAGTATTCAAAATACTTAATTGAATACTTTCAAAAAAAGTATTTAAAAAGTATTCTGAATACAGTATTCCGAATATTGTATTCGGAATACTAACCAAGTCTGGAAATAAGTATCATTGGTTGAGCATAAATAATAGTTTAAATAATGCAATTAGATGGGTGTATAATTTATTCTTTATGATAAATACTAAAATGAATGTTGTTTATCAATTTATTAACATAAAATAATTAAAACTTTCTAATAATTTATTCTTAACTATTGTCTTGAATAATATATTTTATTTGTTATAAAAATTAGTTCCTTTAAAAATAAAGGATCATTCTTAAGTAACCTTTAAAATAATCTTAAACATTTGCCTAAATTTACTTAAAGATTTAGTATATTAAGGTGGTAGAAAAAACGTAATTTTACTGTGCTATATTTGTAATTTTAAATATAATATAAACATAGTAAATAGATTAATTTTTAAATAATTGCATTACAATTAAATATTATTTCAAATTATTTATGAAGAGTTTTTAATGGAATTATATTTTGTAATTTTGTGCTCTTTTTTTCTTTCTTTTATTATATTTGGTATTACATTAATATTAACTGTGTCATAGGTAAACTCTGGTGATTCCATCACTATCCGCGAGGAAGTGTATGTTGGTTATCCCAAAGAAAAGCAAATAACATTGAATAACATCGTTGCTCCCAGATTGGGACGTCGTCCGTAAGTTATTTGTTAATCTTAATAGTATTAGTATTTTGCAAGTTATAATATTGAAGAATAAATTCTTTTAATAAGTTAATATATTTAATTATAATACATGTCATGCATTATTAAAGCGCCCTATACACAATACAATTAATCGTACTACAGATTGTACAACTTTGTTAGATACAATCTCACAAACAATTATCGTAACATGAATGATATTGTTATACAACGTGTAGTATGATAAGTTTAAGTTTGAATGTGCATAAGATCTATTGTACGACAAGCTGCTGCACAACAAATCATAACATGTATGGATCTCTGTACAATAGGTTTGATCGATTTAATTATCATATGTTTTTTGTTATCACCTAACCTAACCCATGCACATGATAAGTTGTACACATGATAAGTTAAATGATGAGTTGTACAACTAGTAGTACGATAAGTTATAAAATATGTATGTTATATTTCTGTACGGCAAATTGGTACGACTATTAAATAGAACCGGTGTACAATCTGTCGTACAATTAATTGTATCATGTGTGGAATGCTTAAAGATCTAGCTCTAATTATTATGAATAATTTTAATGGTTATTTTTTTAACGTTTCTAATCATAAAAATATTTAATTTTAATTTTAATCAATTTTTTTTTCTATTTTTAGAGTATTATAATAAGTTTTTATTTATTAATAATTTTATTACCAATTATAGGGCAAATAATGAATCAGGAACCAAAGGAACCGAAGATGAATTATTTGCATGGGAAGCTCGTGAGTATCTTCGAAAAAAGCTTGTTGGCAAGAAGGTGTTTTTCAAAACAGCAGGTCAACAAGTATCAGGTGGAGGAAAGACAACTAGATACTATGGAGACATATTTTATCCAACATTGGGTAAGCAAATTTATATAATTTTGATTTGTGTTTGCTTTTTCATAATTATAGTTTATTTTGTTTACAAGTATGTAGTGAAATATTACTTATAATAATTAATCAAGAATTCTCAAAATATACCTATTAAATAAATATTATTTTATTTGTTTAATTAAGAAAACAACATTGCAAATGAGCTTGTTGAAAATGGTTTTGTTTCCGTTAAACCCGTAAAATCCAACAATCCAACTCCTGAAATCCAAACATTATTGGATCTTCAAAATAAGGCTAAAGCTGCTAAAGTTGGAAAACATGATCCTAATGCATCAAAGGTATTACAATAACATTATATTATGTTTTTTTTTTTTTTTTAGGTTTTTAACCTACTTATAGCATTAATAATAGCAATGATAATCATTATATATCATATCTTAGTTTTATTTGTATAGTTACATTCATTACTTATATTATGGATAATTGATTTACTTAATAATGTAAATACATATATAATTTTATATTACTAGAACAATACCAGGAAAAATAACTCTATTGACGATGTCGAGGCATTTTTGAAAAAAAATTCTAAAAAACGTATCAAGGCAGTTGTTGAATCTGTTATTGATGGATCTACCATCAAGCTAATGCTATTGCCTGAAGGATATATGATTACTTTGTACATCTCTGGTATTAAGGTAAATATTATATTTTTAAAGCCCTTCTAAGTTATATCCATTAGGAGGAACATACTGAATTCAATATTTAGCTTCTTATTTTAATTGTAACAATATATATTTTATTCTTTTTTTAAATTATACTTATTACTATATTATTATACCACATTATTTTTAGTGTCCATCGGAAAGTGAGGAATTTGGTGATGAAGCAAAATTCTTTGTTGAAATTCGTTTATTACAAAAAGATGTTGAAGTTACTTTGGAAGGTGTACTTTCTAATAATAAGACTCCATCTTTCTTCGGCACCATCTATCATCCAGTAAATTAATATTAACATTTTATTGTTAAATGTCGAGTATTCTTAATTTAAATAACTTAATATTAATAAATCATATTTAAGGCTGGAGAAATAGCTGTCGAATTAGTTAAACAAGGATTTGCTACTTGTCAAAACCGTAGCATGAAATATTTGGAAGGAAGTGCTGATAAATTAAGAGCAGCTGAAAGGCAAGCTAAGGAAAAGAAATTAAGAAAATGGCAAAAATACACTCATACTGGACCCGAGGTATGTATTAATCGTGAATTATTATAATAGTGAGTAAAATATAAGTAATATTACTATATTTTATATCAACATTGGTTTAGATTGCTGAAAAAGAAATTGTGGGAACTGTTATTGAAATTGTGAGAGAAGAAGCTTTATTGTTGAAGACTTCTCATCATGACAAACCCAAAAAAATATTTTTATCAAACATCAAGCCAGCTAGATTAGGTATTGAAGCTCCAAGAACATAGTAAGTATTCTATTTTTATGAAGTTGACTATAATTTATTACAATTTTTCGTTTATAGTGAAAACAGTGGTGATGATCAACCACCTGCTCCTCGAGCCCCTCGAACTTTGGCAAAACATTTCTATGAAATTCCATGGGCTTATGAAGCACGTGAATTCTTAAGGACTCGTTGCATTGGTAAGAAAGTGACTGCATCAGTAGACTACATTCAGCCCAAGTCAGATAAGTTCGAAGAGAAAATCTGTGCTACTGTAACTGTAAATGGAATGTAAGATTAAAATACCAATTATAATGATAGGCTTACTTAATCTTTTTGAATAACTATTTAACATATTTTAAATTTAAATTATTTTTTGTTACTTAGAAATCTTGCTGAAGAATTAGTTAAAGAAGGCTTGGCTACTGTTATGAACAATCCAAGAGATGACCAAATGTCCCAGTGCTTTGATGATTTAAAGAAAGCTGAAGAAATAGCTAAACAATCTCACAAAGGACTTTACTCAAAATCGCCTCCACCAAAACAACGTATCACTGATTGTTCTAGTGCTGGGGTATGTTTCATATATATATAGTTATTTGAACGTTATTATTAATTAATGTTAATGTTACTTATATATAAAGGATTCTGCTCGTGCCAAGGCTCTTTTGCCTAGTTTACAGCGATTCCCGAGGTTTGAAGCTTTAGTTGAGTATGTTGCCAGTGGCTCAAGAATGCGTCTGTATGTACGAAGAGAGTATTCGCTTATTACCTTCCTGTTGGCTGGTTAGTATAAAGTTTTTTAGTTATATTATGATATAGTGATAAGTAGAAAATTAAAATTATAATTATGGTTAGTTAAGTAAACTAAATTTTGTATACAGTTAAACTCAAATTAATGTATTAAGATAATATACTGTTTTTTTTAATTTCCTTTAGTATTCCATTATAAATGAGTAATGCATTTTTCTTTGTGTTTTCTCTATTAATAGTATACATTAGTGATTCTTTAAAAACTTCTTCTGTTCTTTTTATTTGATAAATTTTTGTCACTTTGCTTTGCATTAAATGGTACTAAACTCTTATGATGTCAACCATAGTGCTTAGGGAACTTCTGATCTATATAATATAGATGCTATTAATGTTGTTTTTATTTATGTCTGACAGAACTACATTTGATGTATATAATTTAAAATAACTACATAGTAATGGATTACATTTATTAAATTATTTTAACTGTTTTATGAAGGTATTACATGCCCAAGTGGTGAGCGACCAAATCAAGGTGATCAGCCCTCAGCAGCTGAAGAATACCATCAAGAAGCTTTAGCTTTTACAAAAGAAAAGATAATGCACCGTGAAGTAGAAATTACTGTAGAATCCTGTAATAAGGGTGGCAGTATGATTGGTTGGTTGTTTGTGGGTAATACAAATCTTTCTTTGGCACTTGTTAAAGAAGGTTTGGCCAAAGTACATAGATCTGCTGAACGTTCAGAGTACTTCAAACTCTTGCAACAAGCTGAAAAAGAAGCCAAGGATAAGAAACTTAATGTAATTTTAAACATAAATGTATAGTATTTTATGAGGTAATTGTAATATATTATATTCTCATGTTTAGTTGTGGAAGAATTATGTTGAGCAACCAGAGTCAGAGGCTAATAATAATACTAGCAAACCTGCACATGAAGATGTAGTAAAGGAACGCAAGACCAACTTCGTTGAAGTTCTTGTATCTGAGGTCAGCCCTGAGTTGCACGTTTTTGTACAACCTGTATCTGAAGGTCCTAAGTTGGAAAGCTTAACTGACAACTTACGGAAATACTTTGATTCCAATCCTCCTACTCCTGGTTCTTACAGCCCGAAACGAGGTAAATTATGTGTTTATGTGTGTCATTTGTAATGGTATATTTATCATGTGTGTAAATGTATTGTGATTGGTGTATGTTGAATTAAAGTATAGCTTATATATATTTTAAATAAATTACAGGAGAGATTTGTGCAGCCAAGTTTAAAGAAGATCAGCAATGGTACCGTGCTAAAGTTGAAAAGATTGTTGGACAAAATATACATGTTTTGTATATTGACTATGGCAACAGAGATGTGGTAACTGTTGATGAATGTGCTAATTTACCATCAACATTCAAAAATGACAGACCGTATGCCAAAGAATATGGATTCGCACTTGTTAAGCTTCCAAAATTGCCAGAGTATCAAGAAGATTCTATTTTGGAAGTACGTGAAGAGTTCATCAACAAAACTATCAATATCAATGAAGAATACACATATGATAATATTACTCACATCACTGTGAAAGATACTGATAAAAAAGAGGATCTTGTTAAGAAATTGGTTGAAGAAGGATTCTTATTGGTTGATAGACGCCGTGAAAGATATTTGCAAAAATTGGTAGCTTAAATATAATAAACATTATTGATTAAATTTATGTATTAATATTTCATTTTATGTTATTTTAGTTAACTGAGTACATTGAGGCTCAAGAAAAGGCAAAGAAGGATCGGTTACATATGTGGGAGTATGGTGACATCACAGAAGATGACGCTAAAGAATTTGGTTATGCTAAATAGTCTTTCTTAATCTCCAGAAGACTAATCATCCACTGTCAGGCCTTTTACAACTGTACAAAAAGGTGTTTTACAAATTAATTAGACAGCCATATTAATATCTAATAATTTTACACACTCAAATTTAAAAATTTTATAGTAAATTTATAAATTGACTATATTTTATTATGAATAAATATTTATTTTATTCATTTCGTTTTGTTTGTTAACAAATATAAGATTTTGAAATTAATTACTATCTATTACTTGTAAAATTGTACTGAAAATGTCTTCAATTAATTGTTTTTATCTCTAAATATTTTAATTGTAATAGTTTGAATATTTTCTGAATTTCATGATTTGTATTCATTCTTAAGACATGATTTTGGGATCATTATTTTAATTCAATTCAAAATGATGAATTGTATTAATAATGTGGGATAATATTTATCAGTAATAAAAAAATAAATCCTGTGGTTATTTTAAATACAGGATTTTGGAAAACTAAAACACATTGTATATATATAGTAAAAAATATTAAGTTGGGTGATTAAACAGACGTTAAGGATCCTTTTAAAGGGTTAATTTGTATTATGAAAAAAATGTAAATGTTTTATTATTTTTCAAAGCTTTGCTGATACTTAATCTAAACCTAAAATATTTTGTAAAACACTATTATGTCTGATGTGTAGTGTAAAGACTGTTCAGATGGATTATATTATTGATATACATTATTTGCGTTTTTATTATTATCCATTATATATCTTATTTTCCTGTTATTACCATTTTTATGTTCTGAATTTTAATGAATAAACCGTCTATTATTCCGTTATATAATGGATCCTGGTATTTTAATGAATGATATTTTTCTAATGATTATTTTACAATCTCAAGAGGTTAGTATATTTGGCAGATTTTTCAATTGAGCTGATTTAAGTACAATGGAAAATGATTGTGATCGAAATAGTTTAACTCGAGTGATTACTTATAGATTAACAATTGTTAATTGTACATTAAATAATAGTAATATTATCTAATCATAACATTTATGTAATTTAGGTGATTTCTCATTTAATATTGAATATTAGTGAGTATTTTATCTCTAGTAATTGATTATTTTTAGTTGGTTGTTTTATTACGTATTTAATAGTTTTACGGTTTAATAATAAAGTTGAAAAGATAAGTTTCAACATTTAACTTTGAAATAAACCCCATATAATCTAATAATTATACTATTTATTTTATTATAATTTATAACTCATTTTATAAAAAATAATGCTCGTGAATGTTTTTTTTTTTTATCAATACAATACTAATTTAAATGCACGAGTGTTTATTTTGGATAAATAATAAATTTACGGTAAACAAGGGTGTTATAGGTTTACATATTTAAGTATAAGTATGGTTTTAATAGTCAGATATAACAATTGGTTGCAACAACATGGTTCGTGCAAAAAATCCTTTTAGATAGAATTTCTTTATTATTATTCACATTCTTTCGGCGGTCAAATGTTTTTAAATGAAACATTGAAAACGCCAATTGCTTCAGTATTTGTAGCGAGTCGGAATATAGGCCAGTGACTAGAAATACGCATGTTGATCGCAATAATTAAGGGACTTTGGTAACTATTCAAGCGATTACTATTTACATTACGTCTATGTATGGAATAGCACAGCGAAACTCGATCATCCATTTAATAATTTTTTATTGACAAAACCTTGAGGCGTCGAGCACCTCTATTACAAAACTCTTTAAATTCTATTTTATTAGGCATCGAATTCCGTGACTTACGAGAGGTTGTGATTAAGGATAATTATTTTGTGACTTATTGTTCGATCGCAACAGTACGCGGTCGCGTGCGACGACGGCAAACGGGGCAAGGACGGTGCCAAGTTCGCTGTCCACGTGAATTTTCGGTGCGCATTCCGTGTCATCGCCGTGGCCTTACACGGGAAACGTTAAGCGCGCGCGTGACGTTGCGATATTTCGAATACGCCCGGTAAAAAAAACGTGGTTACGCGTATAACCTAGAAAAATGTTATGCTCTCATTTCCATTACCCGAAAAACAAAACGATCTTCGAAAAAAAATTATGTGATTTCGGTGAAAATTCGCGGGTCGCGAGAATGGATAATTATTAACGTTATTAGTTGGCCCAACGTAATATTAATAAAAAAACAAATAATAATTTTGACGATTTCGACGTCGGAACAATAGGGGAAAAGGTTAGGTAAACCTTACCACGGATAACAGCTGTTAGGACCGCTGCTGTCAGTCGGCGGCGAAGGTCGTGACGTCACGGCGGCGGCGTTCGATTCTACGAGGCGTACGCAGCACCTAGAAACTTCTTTCTTTCGCTCCGCACCGCCCGAGACAAGCAGTCCCGTGCCGTTCAGTTTGATCAGCAATCAACTTTTTTTCCAAAGTTTTCTTTTTTGATCCTTACAACAACAAATATGGGTGAAGCCAAGGCACCTAAAGACCCCTACGGTTTCGCCAAGGACTTCTTGGCCGGTGGTGTCTCCGCCGCCGTGTCGAAGACCGCCGTCGCTCCGATCGAACGTGTCAAGCTCATTCTCCAGGTCCAAGCAGCGTCTCAACAGATTGCTGCCGACAAACAATACAAAGGTACGAATGTTCGTTTACGAATTTTGGATAAATGTGAACGTAAAGCCACTAACCCATTGATCGCCCAAGCAATAGCTGTCGGGTCACCGGACGGCGGCGGCGGCCCGGCCGAAATCGATCTCGTAGAATTGGGTTAGCGCGGCGGGCGGGGCTTCGCCAGTAGTCGTTTGTTGGTTTTCTATTCTTTTGCGATTCGTTTTCCGCTTATCAAGACCGAACGGACTCGTGTTTTTCATTATTTTTACTCGACGCCTCTCGTTTTTCGATATTTCGATCATGTATAATCATGCTTTATAGGCCGCCGTCGCCGCCTGTGGGAATACGACGCGGAATTTATCCGAAACGCCATTTTGCACGTTCCGTGTTTCGACCGTCATAGCGTCATTCCTCTTCACTGGTCTGGCCTATCCGTCGAGCGCCTATGTGTTCCGATCCTCGTCTATGGGGTTATTGGTTTATTTTTATTTTTTATAGGTTATGTTTTTTATTCTTCCGACGTAGCGTCGGCGTTCTGTACACGTATAATATTCGTGAATCCGACTAGACTTTTGGATATCAAAAGTGTTTCCGTTATTGCGCGCTCGGCGTGAATGATCGACCGAAACTGTACGGAGAAGGTGACCGCAGGCGGTTACGTTTATACGATTAAATTAATGCAAATTAATAGTCATCTCAGCGGCAAAGTGTTATAAGAAATAATTATTGATATAGCGATATTGGTCTATTAAACTGTCAATGAAACGTCGAAATAGGTATTGACGCAGCAACGCATTCTTTCCACTCTTATAACCGTGCACAATGTTCATCGAGTTCGCGTGGCGAATGGTTTCTTATAATTTTTTCAGCGACCGAATAATTTCATTAGAATTTTTAATATCTACATCAATACTAAAATTTTTATTGCATTTATTAGATATAAATAAACTATTTTTTTGCGTTATAAATATGTTTAAAATAAATTTGGAAATCCTTTTTGGATTGTCTTTTGGTTATAAAATAAAAACATTACAAGTTATATGATTATTATACATTTTTAATTACCCTGATAATTTTGATTATGAATTTCATAACAACTAAAAAAATTAAAAAACGAATTTTTTTTTAAGTAAAATTTTCAATTATATAATTAACATTTATTGATTACTATTTTAATGAAAAAAAATAATATTAAAAAAAAATAAAATAGTAATTTTCAAACCTTTATTATTGGTATGCATCATGTTTAAAATTGCTATGTAATTATTTGATTTTATCTATACTTAATAATTATCTTATAATAATGTACCTATCTGTAGATACAGTTATTATTTAGAATATTAATATGTATTACATAACAATGGGAGTCTCATGAGGTACATATAAGATGGTGCATAAATAATTTGTAAGGTAACTAAGTACTTATGTAGGTGGGTTAAAAATTTTTTTTATAGGTATAGGTACATATAATGTACTTTAAGCGATAAAAATTAGTCTGATGTACTCATTGATTGTGCTTCAATTGACCATGTATACTAATTGATATGTTTAAGCATGAAGTTAACTTTTGAATGGCCGCTCGGAGCACAACAAATGTGTGCTCCAGTTATTATTTAATCTTTAATAGACATACTTCTCAACACGAAAAGTGAAAAAAAATTTTTTAATAAATATTTTTTTGTTAATTACAGACTATGATCCGAATATATTAACTGATTATAATGTACTATAGGAATCTAAAAAAAAAAAATCATATATATTTTTGGATGGTTTTTGTGCTCCTGTGCACCAGAACACAAGGCATCACTTATTTATATTGATAATTTATAACATTGATTTTTTAATTAAGCTATTCTGATAAACATGCCACTTTTCGTTATTTACTGTACTGTAATTTATGACTTATATGTACCTATTTAAATGTTAAAGCTTATTCATGAAATTTCAATTACGGATTCTTACCATTTGCTATTTTTTGTAATATTTATCTATTTGACCTTAAACATTTATGTATGTATACAAAAAAATATAAAAGTAACTTCTTAAAATAAATAACTATTTATATTATACTAATATAACTATTTATATTTATATTCTTATAATAAATAATTAGGATACCCTATGTACGTGTTTCTCAATCTTTGTATATTGACAACATATGTAGTAAAATATTTTATAAAAAAAATGAGAGTAATGGCTAATGTTAAATATTTATATTTAATTGATAATATATATAACATTTGAATGCATGTAAACTTGAAAATATAACATAAAACAGTATTTAATATTTTAACTTTTTCTTTTTCTGCTTGAAATGGTTTTTACCGCAATATATGATAAGCATGCATAATAAGACTCAGCAATTACATGAGATTTTTTTGTGTTGTCAATTCAAATTGAAATACAAAAATTTGGTTCTTGCGCTTTATCTGAAAATATTCATTGATTTTATTAATTGTTTTTATTGTAATCTCTGAGAATCTAAAATTACACATATCTTTTACATTAATACTCCTGGCTATGCTTTCATTTATTTATTTCAATGTAGATATACACTATATTAATTATAAAATTATTCATTGACATAGTTTACCTTCAAATTTTTTAGAAGGATTTTCAATATTGTATTTTTCTTTATCTGTATTTGCTCTGATAGTATTTTTTTTATTAAAAAATTCCCATTTTCTTTCAATTATTAAATATTCTGTTTTTAGTAAGTTAAGAAAATAAGTCTATTTAACTATAGAAGTAGATTAAAACTGAGTATACTACTTATGTGGGTTACTTATTAGGCGCATATTTTCAGTATATACTGTAAAATAAACAAAAATATTTTGATAAATCAACATTGAGCACTTATTGAAAAATGTTTATCATATGGATTACAATAATGATAATGATAATAATGTCAATAACAGATAATTTATTTTATTCATCATAGAAATTATATCAAATACCTATTCATTTTTGTAAATAGTGTAGAAAATGGTTTATACATTTTGTGTCATTTAATGACACTTTGCAACACAATTGGTGTGTTATCTCTGATACCACACTAGTCGAGAAACTGTCCATTAATCAAAATGTTATTATTTTTATTGTTTTCTTAAATTTACTTGTTTGATGTATTTAATAATTATTTTTCTCATGCACCATCCAATAAATTCATACTAGATGAAATATTTAAACTGGATATTTTTATTATCTTTAATTATTAGATATATTTTCAATTGTATTTTTATTCCTTGAGTTATAATAATTATGTATTATTTAGGTATTCTTGATTGTTTGGTCAGAATTCCAAAAGAACAAGGTTTTGCCAGTTTCTGGAGAGGTAACATGGCTAATGTTATCAGATACTTCCCAACACAAGCCTTGAACTTTGCATTCAAGGATGTTTACAAACAACTGTTTATGGATGGCGTTGATAAAAAAACTCAATTCTGGCGGTACTTTGCTGGTAACTTGGCATCTGGTGGTGCTGCTGGAGCTACTTCATTGTGCTTCGTATATCCACTTGATTACGCTCGTACAAGGTTAGCTTTCATCTATAAGGTTTTTTGAAAATTGTTATTTTTCTATAATGTTAACTATTAATTTAAATTTTATAGATTAGGAGCTGATGTTGGTAAAGGCCCGGCTGAAAGGCAGTTTAAAGGTCTAGGTGATTGTATAGCAAAAACAATCAAATCTGACGGTCCCATTGGTCTGTACCGTGGTTTTATTGTGTCCGTCCAAGGTATTATCATCTACCGTGCTGCATACTTTGGATTCTTTGACACTGCCAAGGGAATGCTGCCCGATCCCAAGAATACTCCATTCTTGATTTCATGGGGTATTGCCCAATTTGTAACTACATTCGCTGGTATTATGTCCTATCCATTCGACACAGTCAGACGTCGTATGATGATGCAGTCTGGTCGTGCTGCTAACGAACGTATGTACAAGAGCACAGTGGATTGTTGGGGCAAGCTCTACAAAAACGAAGGATTGTCTGCCTTCTTCAAAGGTGCATTCTCAAATGTACTCAGAGGTACTGGTGGTGCCTTAGTATTGGTCTTCTATGATGAACTTAAAGCCCTCATGTAATTTCATTTCAAACGAAATTGAACATTATTGTGCAGTATAAATGTAATTCAATAAACACTGTTGTAGAGTATACATTCCTGAAAGTGCAACGTTTATTTTTCTTAATTGTCAGCTTCTCATTCCAATTGTCATGTATTATTCTGTACTGTAATTGTTTTAATTTTTATCAGTTATGATCCAAAATTTTTTAGGAAGCCTACTTATGTTATTACTAACTATTTAGGTCCAATTACTGGTTTATTGTTAATATTGTATTATTTATTTGATTATTAATAATAAACCATAGTTAAAAATAAATTTATTTGCGTTTGATGTTTTATTTGTTTAATCGTCCATAGTGTAATAAGTTGATCTAACTACAGCATTTTATTGAAAGTTATTAATCATGGTTTATGTTAATGCTACTAATTTATTTTATTGGTTCAAACATTTTTTAGATTAATTTTATACTGTATATACATTGTTATATTGTTATGTTTTTATTATAGTATATATAATAATTTTTCATAATGATAGTGGGTTAGTCATATATTTGTAGTATGTTAATATTTATTATTTATTACATCATCTTGATGATAAATATAGATTTATTTATAATAGTAAAAATATAAATAAGTACTCTTATTTTAAAAAATTGCATACTACAGTTATTATGTACAGAAATCAGTGATTTAACCTTGACTTATTTGTTTTTTATTTTGGATAATGTTATCTTTAGGAATTTGAAAATAAATCAAATATAAATTATGTATACAATAATATCAACTACACTCTGGTCTATGGATATGACGTCTATAGAATGAATTTAATAAATGTATTATTGAACAAAAAATTTTCTCTAATTAACTGAATACATTTGGTGTACTTAATAGAAAATAGATTTTAAGAATTTAGTTTTTCATTATAATAATTTTAATGCAATCATACAGTAGAAATTGTTTGACACTCATTCCTAGGTATCAGTTAAAAATAGTGTAGTAAGCAGGAAATCGTACTATGCAGGATAAACAGTTAAAATTGTGACAAAAAAGTAAATATAGTGTGTTGCCGAGTAAATTTTGAAATTTATATAACATATTATTTTTCATCACTTCAAAAAAAATCATAGATTTTTGTTAGTTTCACATTTTTTATGTTTCTGGAGTAGAGAAAGTCCTCAATTTTATTGAGTTTTTGTAAATTTTCATAAGCACTGTAAAAAGATACAATTAATCTTCATAGGTCTTTAACATGAACCAGTGCATTTTTTACCAGGATGATCAGTGTTATATCATTCTTGTATCATACTCTTCCTCTTCCTTGCTTTGTTTCTTTATAGAATTTAAATAGGCCAATGAAATTTTATCAGTAGAGTTCAGGACTTGTAGCATTTGCATAATTTTTAATAATGACTGTACAATAATCTGAGTAAGATATACATTTGTTTAAAGACATTAAACAGATTTTTGAATTTTAATTGTTATTTAGAGTATATTTACTCATTTTTATGTTAAATAAATTTATTCTTAATGTTAACAACTCCTTTTTTCTTCATTTTGTGTCATACGTTGGTTAATACTTAATATTCAATACACCGAATCGCAGATTGCATCATCAAACGAGGCAATCAAATAAATACCTAATTGTTTCTGTGTATAGCTCTGTTTATTTGTGATTTAATACTGTAATAAATATGCAATAGAAAAATATAATGTATGAAATAGTCGTAGTAATAAACTACCGAGAAAAATATTGCCGTGGCGTAATAGTATTCATTGTAAAACAGGTGTAGATTTAATTTAAGTTCTTACACTTTGCCGTACTATGTAAGTGAATGGCTAATTGGGTTTACAAGTCTTATAATCTTTAAAACACCTTAATGTTTGTGCCACTCGACCACCGGACGTAAGAAATAATTATTCAACTCTCAGCTTCACGATATGAACTAACTTTATAATAATTTATAGTCTCTGTAGGTTTTTAGTATACCAGGCAAAGTATATACACCTAAATAAAAAATAAACATATATGAAGTGGTTACTCCTGTATATATATGTTCATAACATTAATTTTCTTTTATTGGTGATTACGTAAAATTAAAATATAAAAATTTCATTAATTCATTAAAAAAAAATTTAAATTACATTTATGTTTTTTATGATTACTTTAATCTGTAATTTTTTTCATCTAAATTAAATAGTTTCCGGCCACCTGTAGACGCTTTTAGATTTTTTTAGCGCCTCTCTTCACTTTTTTTACGTTTTAAGCTTTAAATTTAAATTATCAGTAAGATTCCCCCAATTTAATTCATGTTACTTTTTACTTAGTAAATTAATGGTATTGTTTTCATCTTAAGATTAGATTAAAAACCAAATGGCTTTCAAGCACATATGTTGAGCGGCGCTTTGTATAGGCAATCTAGGTACAACGTTGATTGCTTATTAAAATACAAAAAATAAGATATTTAATTAAATTATTTTTCTTGATTTTCATGATGAATTATTATACTTAATGCAATCAAATTATTCTTTTTTAACATGTCTTGGTGTACCTTATTAGTTAATTTATAAAAATAACATATTTTTAAAATGTAAACGTTTAAAATTGTCGTTTAAGAGAGATATTTACCAGAATACTAATATATTATACTATATTTAAGTTCTCGTATTATGATTACTTTATGCGATAAACATTATAATAAATATTAATAAGTTCATAATACTACGTGATTGGGCGATTCTCATCATAAGATGTAATAATGAACCCAGGTACGTTATTAATTTATAATCCGAGTATTTCTTAAAAAATATATGAAATCTCATATAAAAATGAACGAGTGAATTACAATTTTCATGTATCAAATAGGTACGATAAAAAAATTCTTTTAACTATCTTGTTACTGTACAAAAAAAAAAAAAATTGGAATTAAGGAATGTAAAAACCAACACATACATTTTAAATAAATATCTTGGTTTATATAATGTAATAATAATTAAACTAACTTTTTTCAATACATTTTTCTCATGATTTCTCAGTTTATTAGTTTCTTTATAGATTGTTGAAATCCGAGAAAATAAAAAGCCACCGAACAGCACCAAACGTGGTATATTTCATAAACGAATGAGTATTGTTTTTACACGGATAAAGAATCCAATAAAAAAAAAAAAAAAAAAAATACAAAAAACCAAAAGAACAATTATAAAAAAATATGTAGTTATCGCTTTTCTACACGGACGTTTTCGATTTCACGAAATAGTTTTGACACATTTTCATAAAATCGGCATACACATTCACACATATCGTGTTCCTTTCGATATTTTATTTAAGCGAGCGAGAACTATACGCAGAGAAAAATATGTACAAGTAATGCAGTAGTTCGCGAGCTTATTCTTTCTTCCTCTTACAGTTTCACGTTGCCGGACGAACTGTTGAATTTCACCATGTCAGTATTGCTGTTTGTGTCCACCGGCAACGGTTTTTCGTCAACGTTGTGGCCGATGCCACCGCCTCCACCGTCACCATCATCATCATAGATTTTCAAGTCTTTGACGTTGTACCAAACGCCGATGTCCAACAATGTGCCGACAGTCAGGAAACCTGCGAACATCGAACAATGTGAATAACGATGATGAAAATGTCACGGATAAAATTTTTTTTTTGAATTGAACCAAACCGGATCATAAGGATATGATTACTGCATTTACACATTACGATTATGTTGTAGTGTAATATTCTTATCAGAAATGTTATCATATTAACTAGAGATGGGAATTTCAACTCATCTTGGTGGATCGAATCTTTCGACTCAGCTCAGTTTAATGAGTTGAATCAGTGAATCAACTCTCAATTCTTCCAACTCTTTTGTTTGAGTCTGAATTAAATCTCGAATGTCAATTCTCAACTCTCTGAATTCGGAAGCTCTGGTTGATTCGCAAGCCTATAGTAGATATTTCATTGTTCACTTGATCGTTATCGGCCCACCGCAATCTCATATTATAAAACTAATTACGATTACCCATTATCATAGATTTTTGCTCGTCGAAATCATGTTTGAAATGTACAAATGATTTATTACATTACACCACACACGAGTACCTACCTAATAACATAACACGCCTATGTTTGGATTTGGAATTTGATATCAACACAATTATATAAACATATAATAATATATCTGTGGTTATCAACCACACTTGAGAGTCTTGTATCAGTTCAGTTGGAGAATCAGCATTCGTGAATTGAATTTGATAAGTTGATTGAATTGAGTCACTGAGTTTCCGACGATACATTATCCATAAGAATATGGACGTCCATGTGACTATCCGCAACGCATACACGCTGCAGGGTGCAGAACATTACAATTGGTTAATATAGTTTTGAGGGTGTAAAAGAGCTCATATATCTTGGATTCTCCCTTAGTAATAGTCAAGGCCGTAACTGGGGGGGGCAGGGGTCCGGACCCCCCCCCCCCCCCGAAATTTCCAAAGTAGAAACATTTTAGCGGTGAATATAGTTTATTATTAAATATAAATTGTATTAAATAATAATGTTAGACTCTCTCCCGAAATTTTTTTCCAGTTACGGCCATGATAACAGTAATAACACGTCGGAGGAGATTAAAAGAAGAATTATGGCTGGCAACCGAGCATATTTTGCCAATATTACACTCCTAAAATCAAAACTGTAGTTGAAAACTACTAAGATTAACCTATATAAAACATTTATTCTACCTGTAGTCTGATATGGAGCTGAAACTTGGACATTGTCAAAAGCAGACCTCAACAGGTTAAAGATATTCGAAAAAAAAATAATAAGAAAAATACATGGAGCGGTGAATGAAGAGGGAAGATGGAGGATACAGAGCAACAATGAAATAGATCAGATTTTAGAAGACGAAAATATAGTAAAATTTATAAAATCAGACAGAATCAGATGTTTGGGTCATGTGGAAAGAATGGACGAGGAAAGAATACCAAAACACGTAATGTAATGCAAAGGAACAAAAATACAAGGACGATCAAGGAGTAGATGGATAGATGAAGTAAAGATGGATCTACAACAGATGTGTATATGGAACTGGATATTTTTGGATATTGTTTTGGAAGCCAAGGGTCACTTTGGCCTGTAGTACTTACGAATATAGTATAGTATATGAACTACAAATTCCTAATATTAACATTATGGTTAATAGGCAGTCATCGTCGTTTCACATGTTTTGTGCAGTAATACCGATTTTTCTAATAAATAATATAGTGTCCTCCAAAAAGGGTTTTGTTTATTTAACAATATTACAATAAAATAGAACATGACATCAAGTGAAAGGTGTTGATTTGTTATGGGTCGGAAGAAAAAGGATAATTTAGATAATTCCGAATCAGAAAATTATGAATCAATAAATGAACCGAAAAAACAATCCATGTGTAATAATGATCAAATGTTTAAGTATCAAAATATAAATATGGTCACGATCAGGTCCTATTGGCAATGTCAGTCAACTATCTTTATATGGAAATATATGTCAAAACTGGAATGGTTGGCTACAAGAATTTCATATTTATTTGATATTTATGTAATTATTTATTGTTTATTTTTTAGCCAGCCCGAAATACGGGTCTATTATCTAGTTTCTGGTCTAGAATAGTAAGAGAAGGTTTAAAGAAAATGTACGGTAATTATAGCAATAGTAACAATTAAAAAAATTGTAACTCTAGTCGCATACGTAGTCGTTGTGGCCAAAGTCATAAATATTCATGTCCCGGCAAAGGTATTCAGTGTCATAAATGTAATTAGTTTAACCATTTTTCAAAATTTTGTTAGACAAAGGTAGTTCCCATAATCAAGTTAGATCAGACAAACATTTTGATAATGATAGGCCCCTCCTAGGCAGGTTTCTGATTATGTTGTGTAAAATAATTAGTCATGCATAATTATTTGAGACATACGTCACCATGAAAGTTCTCATTGTCACGAGAGTTCAAATTAAATTATCTGAATATTTCCTAGAACACCGAGTACAATTATCAAACGGTTTTGCGTATTATATTTTACGTATCCACGTGTTCGTGCATTGTGTTTGTGAACAAAGCGTTTTTTTTATGCTCGAACAATAATGTCGAACTGCTGCGATCAAAAACAAAAACAACACAACTCGCGATGGATTAACGGTTAATCCAACAATGACGGGCGGCGGGGATCGTGGAAACAGGTACGTCCTCATCGTTTGTAATCAACACGAAGACATCGAAAGAGTTCGTCGTCGAATGATGTAACGGAATTCGCGGTCAGAATGACGGTACGCGAAAAGCATAATACAATCGAATTCGTTTCGTAAACGGAACACCGTGAAAGTTTTCGAAAACCAAATATCACCATCGTCTCGACAATATTCTTCTACGAGATATCTCTACCGTCATAAATCGACCTCGTTCTGTTGGTAATATTTTGCGCAGGAGCGTAGGTAACAGAAACGTCTGTCACATTCCATTATGAACGTATAGTTAAAGCGTCACAACTCATCTCTGTTACACCTTGTGTGTACGAGTGTAAAAAATAAATAAAATACAATGAATTTTACTCACAGGCACTAGTAATGTTCAAATAGTATTTCAATCGGTTTCCGTCGTACAGCCAACAGTTGCCGTTGGTCCCGCATTTCCTACCCCATACCAAGCACGTGGTGTCTGTGGGCAAACGTTTAGAAACGATTATAATATACTCGTATATTACACTCGGTCGACGTTTCAATTTTTTAAACCGGGCACGTGCCCAGTAGTGTTTACATCTGCAGTGCTAGCGTCGTGACCAGTGGCGTATATTCAAACTTTTTGCGTAGGGAGGAGGCTTAATATTTTTCTAAAAATAATTGATTTTATAATATAAAAATTACATACATGGTATGAATTAATAATTATACTATTAATCAAACATTTTTATACAAACATTACAACCACATGATATAAATTAATGTTCTCTTTCTATGTGTCTTCGTAGCAAGTCATTTACGAATTTTGACCCTTTTTTTTCTTCGGGAGGGAAAGGGTTGAGATCCGGGACCCCCTCAAATGATACGCCACTGATCGTTGTTTCGAGTACTTACCGACGATTGTGCCGTACATCACGGGACCGGGCAAGAACGCCACCAGTGCCAAGACCACTTCCGCGAAACCCAATGATAACGACTTGTCCTCTGGTCTTACACACCTGAAACAAACACGATTCAACGTTATCCAATACACGGTATTTCACGTTGCACATCTAATTAAATATGCAGACTGGTGTATTTGTTTAATTACCGCAAACATTCGATTACACATCGATAGAATTTAATTGTTCTTTTTTTTTTTTTGTTTCATTATTATCATTAACAAGTCTTGCTGAATCAAAATCGGCTAAAATTATTAAATTCATAGTAGTTTAAAATTTTGGGTATTTTTTTGGACGTTGTAACTTTATTTTGCACAACGTATGAATGCAAACAACCTTTTTTTACTTATTATTACGTGAAAACCAAATATCGTAATATATTTATTATTTAAGCTGATTTAAGAGTGAATATTGATATATTCATACAGCAGAACTTGGACGAGATTATGAACAAAAAAGAAAGGTTTTACTAGTTCCTTAGAGTTCGAAATTCAATGCAATTATTTATTTAATTAAATTGTAAAAGGTAATTGCAAAAATGTTGTATATAAAGTTAGTTTTAAATCAAGTAAGTATCTCTAAATTGTATTTTTTGAGAAAATTTGTGTTTAAACTATTACAAAAATGTAAGTAAAATTAAAATAAATCTTAAATTTTATTTTTTATTATCATAATTAATTAATTAAATTGAAAATTAAGTATTTATAAAAAAGTGGTTAACGGACTTATTTAAGCTATAGCTAGTATTTAGTCATATCCAGTCTAAGTGGTTTTTTTTCAATAGCAGTAAGGTATATTAAATATTTTTTCGTTTTTATTAAGTAATAAATATTATACTTTTATTATATAAATACCTTTTACAAGTTTTAAACATGACTGTTTGATTATTTTAAAAATCTACCTTTCTCACAACCACCCCAAGCTTACGAAGAACGTGTTACGTCGTTTAAATAATTAATTGTGTGTGTGCAGTATCCTGTACTATTATATCTGTCAAATCTGTTGAGAATTAAGATATTTATACTCGGTAAATGTGTATTAGGAGTGAAGGTTTAAGTGGAAAGAACCCAAATGTAGAAAAACTTGATTCAGCGGATTTAGTTTTAATCGACAAGTTAAATTCAGAGAATAGAGGTAAGTCGTTTCGAGATTTAATAGATTCAAACCGAACGTTGAGACAAACAAATATGGTTAGTCAGATAGATTTTATTACTGCTTTGAAATTCACTCCCGAATTCATAGGCGGAAGTGAAACCGATCTAGCATTTTTCATTTACAAATGCGATTTTGCATTTTCAAAAATACCTGCAATTTCTTAACCTGATATCTTAGCTGCGGTACTTACATAAATTAAGGGTAAAGTTTTTGAGGCAGTTAGGTAAAAGGAAATAACAACACGAGAGGAATTAAAATTAATATAATAAAAGATTTCGTGCAACACGTAGAAAACAAAGTATCACGAATTATTGAAATTCAACGGAAGCAAAAATCATCGAAGTAACTCCCCCCTCATCCCATTGGCTGTGTTTTAATTAAAAACAGGCACGCACCTGAAATGGATAATGGTAGAACCTGCACGGCCGGAGGACGACAAGAACCTCATCATGCCCATCACTACGAGAAATATGATAAAGTCTCGAGTGCAGTCGATCGGACACGTCCCTTCGTTCGCCGTTCCCAAACCGCCGATGCACGTGCAGTTGCTGTAAGTCTGTAGAAAGTAATGGTTACCGGTTTAGAATACACGTGTCGAGAAATACAAGTTTCTGGTATATAATTCACTTTAACGCCACCGGTAACCGTTGACTCTTGGGCGCAGCCCGCGTAGCACGGTGAATAAAACGTCGTGGACCGGTCAAACGAACAAATGGGATTGTAGCGCATCGACTGTCCGCAGTTGCAGTCCGCATTGCAGTCCATGGTCAGGTTCCACCTGTAAACGGACATTCGGGTGTTAACCGAGTGCGGCGTCTGAATAACTGAGATGAGTGAAGTTTGGATGATTTAGGTAATGTGACCGCAACACAGTAATGCCAAACGGCACGTAAAATCCCTCGAACTATCGTCAGTCCCGCTAAGATCATTACGTTCCCGCAGCCCATCCCAATCGCGAATTTCGTGTTGCTTATTGCTTCAAGGATTGTACAATAGCGACACGAATAGTTTTAATTCGTTTTTTGAACTTCAACTGGATATTTTTAATCCTAGTACACAACTAATTGACTACTGTTTTCCCATTATACGAGGTTAACCTCGTATATATGGTGTAAAAATATGAAAACGAGGAAAAAAAATTTCATTGCGAAGTACGTGTTGAAGTCGAAATACTTCGGAAGCATTGTGCAACTGATCTGTCGATCTGTCATCTTAAAAAGTCGTTAAATCATTTTAAATCATCGCGATATCAGTCAGAAAAATTGGGAGTAAAATATTTTTAATGTCATGTCCGCAACATATCACGATTCACTGTTCGTGTGTTGTAATTTAAAAAAAATGGTTCGTCCGACTTGGACGACTTGTTCGAACGGATCGCGAGGAGTAGCGGGTACGGCGACTTTAACGTTCACCCGTGCGGATCAAATTTTCTTCCGGGCGAATCCAACGGAACAAGGTGCACGCGTTGTACAAGAACAAGTATTTCGCTTACTAACGTTCTATCCGAGTTCCATTGTCCGTGCAAATTGTCCATCGTGCACCCGAGAGATATGTACAGCAGGTGGCCAATGACTTCCAGGGACTGCGACACGAAGTTCCAGAGGGCCAGCGACCGGGGCGGCGGTTTGAATTTCGAAATGATCATGCCGGAAGTGATTACGCCCAGACCGGAACTCAGTATGCCTATGGCACCCGACGCGAAATTCGACTTGGCGGCCGTCTGCCGGAACTGTGTTTCCATGTACTTGGGCATGAACGTCCAGTACCCTATCAGACCCAGCACGAAGAACGAGTTGCTCGCCGAGCCGAACAACAGTATTCGGTTGGTCAGAATCCGTTTTATGGACGTTACGAAATCTGGAACAGATGACACACAGCACTGTGCGATGGATTTCGTGGTTTTCTTTTTTTTTTTACACCACACACACTTCGGTCAATATTTTTGCACCTCGTCCGAAGACTGTAGTTTCGAGTACGTATATTGTTAAACCGTGCGCCGGTCTCAGTAACTCAGTACTCACCGGTCGAAATGGGTTTCGTTATTTTTTCGGATTTTTCTTTTTTACGGGCAGCCGCTCTCGGTAACGTCCTCGGAAACAGTAGCATTGTCGTCGAGAACGCGAGACAACTGATGCCAATGGGCGTCCAACCTAAAAATTGAGAAACAATCATTTTTCGTTTTTTTTTTTTTTTTTTTTTTTTTTATATATATTCGTCTGGTATCATAATCAATGTGAACCATAATTGCCGTTTACGGATTTTAAGAGTGCAAATTTTACACCAACCCATCCACCATGCGCCGACCCATCTGGGATCTTCGTTGGTTATGGTCGGCGTCAGAGAAGGTTCGATGAATTTTGTTAGCGTGTACGCCGCCAACATGTAGCCGAACAGGGGCCCCAACATTCGTATGCAATGCACGATCGCTGAAACACAATGTTGGTGGCAATTACAATCGTTTTGTTCAACTCTTATTCTTCACCACGGCAGTCGTGCGCTTGAGCCGTTACGGGACGTTGAGGATCTATAGTTCGAGGGTTATCCGAGGAGGAACGAGCCCTCGCCAAAAGCGAAGCCCCCGCGACACGTGCGGTGCGTCTGCATTCGTTCGCGCCGGAGAAAAGGAAAACCGTAAGGAAAATCGTTGCCGATAAACTTACCCAGCAGCATGGGCATCACGTTATTGCGCACGTTGTCGTCCAGGTACGCGGCGCCGCACGTCCAGTACAGAGAAAAGCCCATGCCGAGTATCGCGTTCGTCGCGCACAACAGCACGGCCGCCATGTTCCATCCGTGTTCGTTTCGACAGTCGTCCACCGCTGGTACGGCGTCGCAGAGATTGTCGTTTTGTTCTTTTCGTCGCATCACATATGAACACACGCAAGCGTATAGTATTTGATTTTTAGTACATTCGCGATAAACAACGACTCTTTAACGGAAAAAAAAAAAACAAGAAAACAAGAAAAGAAAGAAAAAAAAAATTCGATATACGATTACATCGCGGGATGTAGTTTAAATTTCCCGAAACATCTTATTGTGTATTATAATGCCTGTGGGGTGGAGATGATTTCATGGTATATGCGCATTACTAGCTCCGATTAATATTCTTGGAGCTACCCGTTTCCGCCTAAATGTACCTTTCCCTTTTCCATCTACTCGATTTTCTGTCGAATGAAAAATGTTCGTCCTGTATCTGAATATCATTGGAACATTGTATTTATTACAATTATTAATTAGAGCAATAAATATATTAAGAATCTTGACATTTTTTTATTCTATTTTTGTACGATTACAATTTTGTTTATAAATAAAAAAATACCGTAAATTGAATACAAAGTAAAAATAGTTGTTATATACTTAAAAGTTATAATATTTGTTTTTACCACAGTTACTCATACAAGAAATATCAAAAATATAATTAATTTTTTATTGTATACAATAAATAATTAATAATTAATTTAATGAAAATAATTTTTTGTCGTAAGATACCTATAAAATATCGTAATTTCCACCATTTCAATTTAATTTTTAAATGATAGTAAGACATTTACCTATTTAAAAAATAAAGTAATTTATGTAAAATAAAACAAAGTTATTGAAACCTTGAATTTTTTTTTGTATATACTCGTACCTATGTAGCATGACTATTCGGTGTTCATTTAGAATAGCGAATGTCCGGCGATAGAATTATCTTGTGGGATCCTTACAATATAGCTGGCTCTACTATCTCTGCTCTAGATGCTTTAAAGATCCTTGATTAATATTTTTAGTCCTATGCGGGATTTTAAGGGATTGTCAATCTCGTAAAATATATAGTTATCAAATGAGTCACACAATGATGGTTTTTACTTAAATACAGAATATATAATATTTAATTATATGTATACCCCTGATTGTTGGAACATAGCGTTGAAAAATGGTGAACACGTACTTGTTATTGTTCAGATTATAAGTTTCTCACGTTAAGATAGTAGTATGTCAACTGGTGATCTACGCGTTGTAATCGACCGTTAACGTCGTGAGCTGTAAATCCCCCATTGTATAATAATATATCAGGCATACGTGCCGATTCAGCTATAAAACGGTATAATGTTAGGTTTGTATAAAGCAGCCGTAATACCTATATATTTAATTATTTTGTTAAGCTAATTTAAAATGTACGATTTTAATATTTTATTCAAATACTAGACTAACTTTTTTCATTTGACAAAAAAGGAATATGTACGATTTTTACGGAAACCGACAGTGCATAATTAATAAAAAATATCGAAATAGGTCGAATTTGACGTCGACACTAATACTTTAATTAACAAATGATAGGTACACCAGATATACGAGTAGATAATACATATATAATAATACGTATATGCAGTCATATTTAAGCTCATCCATCCTATTAAGATTCATGCACTAATTTTATTATTATTTTTCCTGTTCTTAAAATCAGATATAATGTTACTTTTTGGATGCTATTATACCTCCTCAATAATAAACTATTTATTTACATTTTGCTGCATTTAGCAGTTAAATGCATTGTTTTAATGTAACCGTTAATCGCCATGTTTTGTGTACCTTCCTTTTTTAGATGATAATTTTTCAGGTGTTCCGCATGAAAAAATATTACTTTCTGGTGTACCGTGATTTTAAAAAGTTTAAAAAACACTGATACAGACAATGATCTTCAACACTCACTTGTCATGTTGCTCAGTAATAAAGCCGAATTCACGTTGTTGCTATATTCGACGGTGTATTGAAGGGCCTCCTTGCCTGGCCCGTAGATAATATGAGGCAAGAGACGGATAAAACAAGATAGACCAATGAACATGAAACCGATGGCTAACCATCGAGTCCGATGACCTTTGCCAGCAAAATACGACGTGATTAGGAACGATAAAAGTGAGAACAGATCCCAGAAGCTTGAAATGATACCTGCATATTTATACGCATGAAGAATTAATTCGTACGTATTGAATTATATTATTTATGTTTAATCGTCTAGGAAAATCGTGAGATTAGCACATAGAGTTATTGAAGAAAAATGAACAATTGGTTCTATGAGTTTGAAATTTTCGAACCTATTGCGCATCAGCGGCAAAGAGCTATTATTGATGAGTATTGCACCAAACAAAACTCGGGGGGGGGGGGCATTGTACACGCTATTAACATTGAAATTTAATTTAGTACAATCGTTCCGTATATTATAAATATATTTCGTATTTATAGGTTTGAAATTTCAGATTGTATAAATAACGCGCGTTTCAAACAACAATGTATTTTCTGTTGTTAAAAATAATAAGATTAGGTTAAGAACATTTTATTTTTCTTTAAATGCTATCGACGATTATCCGATGTTATTTTTTACGACTTGATCACTTATTACACACATTTTACATACCACTCATCTGACTAGAGAACTTGAATCTTTTCTCCATTGTGGTCAGTGTACCGTTGAAATACGAAGACAACATCAATTGATTGAATCCCAAAATCCCGTATACGATCACATATGCTTTTTTACTGGCAAACACCTGAAGCCATTTAGGCTTGAAGAACCCTATTCCGCAGAGCGTTTCCTCTACAGTCGATTCTGACGTTTTGTCGCTCATTTTATTAAATTTTCTATTAAAAAAAAAAAAAAAATTATGTATCCAAATTAATTGTTTGATTTAAGCCACGCATCGCAGACGATATATATAAACAACGATGGGTAGTGTAGTATTTTCTAGTATTTTCTATAAAAAAAATTATCATACATCAAGATGTGCGTCAAGTGTGTACTTATTAAATGAATACATTATTATTATAGCACGGATGTATATGCATTAAAAACCAAACAAAAATATAAAATAAGCTCATAAAGTAAAATAAATGGGTAAATACCGAAATATTAAAAAATATGCTTTATTAAAATTTGATTGTTTAAATCGTTATGTTATTAAACAAATTTTATGCTAACAGCATATCATACGACCAATCAGAATAAATATGCAAATACATATAAATCCGCGCTTTAATTATTTAATTATTATCACATATACGAAGTTCATAAGACGCGTGGTTGCCGTGTCATACGTAGATGATACGCATCGTTAAGAGCATATTTATATTTTAAATTATCATTACTCTCAGTGTATTTTCGTTTGCCTTTCATTGGTAACCGGCAAAAATAATAACCTGTAAAAGATTTATTCATGAACATACGGTTAATGGTTGCCATTGTGTTAAAATTTGAATAACATTTTGGTAAACAGTCAAACAGGCAATTGTATAGGCATTGACAATACAGTTTCAACGATCTTATTTTTACTGTATTCCGATTTTCCGATGCCTAATATGTTTGAGATCAGTACTGACTAAAAGGCTATAAGATTATATTTTTTGTTAAGTTACTGAAAATTATTTTACGAACAGTGTTTTTAAACTATATTGATTTCAGTAGTTTGTGCACAGTGAACAATAATAGTATTACGCACAAGTCACCGCCGCGGCTTAAAGTTATCATACACGGTTATGCTTTTCGATATGGTTATTATATGAGTTAGATAAACGTTTTTATATATTCTTGTTTTTTGAAGATTTAGCTATGTGCATTATGTATGTGTTTTGATATAATTTGTCAATATTAAAGGTTTCTTGGCATAGTGTATATATAAACGAGATGGAGAATATTTCAGTTTTTTTATAAAGTTATGTGAACATTTTACGTGACAAACAATAATTGTGATTATTTTATTCAAAATAAAACCTACTGTAGAAAATGTATAGTTTGATTTCAGAAAATTTGATAATATGTGTAATTATTGAAATATAATGGGGTACCTAGCAAACAAAATATATTAAATGTTTAAGTCTAAAGACCTAGATTTAAGTTCAAAGTATCGATTAAAACCTAGGTCAACTACAGTTTAAAGATAAAATTTGCAATTTTGTGTGAGTGCACACACTACTCCCTCCAAATCATTCATTTGATATGATAAATATAATTATGATACGACCAACGATTCTAATAGCAAATATTTAAAAATATTGTATAAAATAAACCATGTGATTCAAATGATTGTAATTAGTCTAGAATCATGTAATATGTATTGCAAATGTATATTAATTAATATCAGAAAACTAATATTTTGATTATAATAAAAATATAATGAGCATTTATTTGAAATTACATTCGTCCAGAAATCTCCAAACAACACGTTTGAAGTATTATACTATTAATGAATAGTTTTAAAATTCTGATAACTAATACCTTGCACTATAAATTAATGATTAATTAAAACCTTAAACTTAAACTAATACAAACTTTTCGGTTATTAACATTTATACAGCTTTACACTAAAATATCAGCATGGTTCAAAAAAGTTAATTTTATTCACCTCTACCACACTCAGTGGCATACTCACGGGGGAGGGGGTCATGGGGTTTGAACCTCTCCCCCTATTGTACGTATTTTTTCAAAATTATTCCAATAGTTTAATAATAATTGATTATTGATTTTATTGATTATAATTTAGTGGTTTATACGTCATTAGTTACTAGTATCACGGTTATCAAGTTGGATTGGAGCACGACCATAGAACATGTTCTATGACATGACCGTGCTATCAATTTAACAATTGGGTGACAATTTGTGATAATGTAGTTTTTTAAAACGGTACAAAATTTGTAATTATTATGACTATGGAGGGTGGGGGGCAAAAACCCCTCACTTTTGTATTCTAGTAAATTTTCAGAGCCCCTTTCCTTCATTAAAAATTCCTGAAAACGCCACTGACCACACTAACTTAAATATAATATTGTAAATAATATGATAATATAATGAAGATAATATGATTGTTATGGTTTAATTTTTTCAGTACGTATGTATATTAAATTGATTATATTTAATATTTAAGGCAATTAAGCAATTAAATATAAACATATTGAATTGTGCATGAATGTAATTTAAGAAAGAATTACATTTCTATGATTAGATTAGGTAACTGAAAAGTGATTTCTGAAATGCGTACTAAAAACGTACTTTTGTATTCTATGTTTGAGAATGTTAAAACAATATAATATTTATTATACAGCAAAACCGTAATATGTAATAAAAATTATAATAACAAGACCTGTTCTTGGAAAATCACAACAGCTGTACTCGGTAATAAAATATTATAATATTTAGTTATAATCAGAGCCCGGGACTTATGGCACATAAAATCAGTAAATTATGCGCTTAAAAACATCATTATAAGCACGCAAATAAGTCTTTTAAAAAAACTTAAATTTAAACAAAAATATTCCATAAAAAAAAAAGAAAGATACAAAATTAGAAAAAAATTAGCAAAAATTTCTAAATTTTCTTTTTACGTGAACATGATAAGCAGTAGATATATTTTTTAACTATGCTGAATGTATAATTAAAAATAACAAAAATAAATAAATCTTTATGTTACAAAAAAAGTCTAACTTTAATTTTGGAGACATTATGCCTTGAATATTATATTGGGAGCCAATTAAAAATATTGCCTGTTTTGGTAGCCAATTCAGTTCTCGATTAGGTACCTAACCTAATTTTAGGAGCCGATTCAATGGTCGCTTAATTTTTTAAATTAAATAACAAGCGCTCCCTGCCACGTGATAATGTGCATGGTGTTTTAATCTTTAATTTCAATACTACGTTTTGTAGGTACTTAGTTTACTATTGTAATATGATAATAAATTAATAAACAACAATGTATTGTTGACGCTTCGACGATTTAACATCCATACTAAGGGAAATGTTTTTCACACAAGAATAGAAAACTACGTCATACGAGCATTAAGGGGTTCGAGAAAAAAAATGTTTGGCTCCACCAAAACAAATCCTAGTAAAACCTCCCTTCGGCGCCGTCAACGCCATTTTCCTCCATTTCCATCACGTATATATTATACTTACGCGCGCACCGTCGTTTTTCGAAACAAAACTCGGGAGGACACGGCGAAACGTAATGTTAGTGGTACACCATTCGGGGGGACCGCGTAACGTTACTGCGACCCGGGCGAGGGACGCGCGCGAACGTCGTCGCCGGTTTCAAATTGTTGTTACTCGGACGCCACACAGTCGTAGTGCGGTTCACACGACGTTTCCGGCGCGATTCACACACCCGTCATATTGCTATCGTCACCGAACTCCGACGGAAGTTTTAAAAACAAAACCGAACCGCGCGGGCGACCCGGTTGGCGTGTTGCGCCGCCGTCGTGTACAAGCGGTCACGCGACGATACGCGCTCGTCCCGCGTTTTTCTCGCGGCCTTATGGATTTCACACCCGAACTGCTCTGCTGCTGCCCTACCGAAACGATTCGTCGCCGACGTGCGCGAGCTCGCGGCAACGGTTATCGCGGTCGTGGTCGTCGCGGTAAAGGAGGTACATTTCCGTATTATTCGAGAGCGCGCGCGCGTGTTATGAGTAATAGAAGTAGTAGCGGTTAGTTGTAGCGGTTACGCTGGTGTTGGTATCGGTGCAATTAGTAGATAACAGCGGTAACCCGTTATCCGTCCTATGCGGATCGACGATCCTTGGTGGGGAGGAATGACGTCCGCTCCCGTCCTCCGTCGTCCTGTCCGGACGACTCGCTAATAACAACAACAACAACAACAACATAGCAATAATATAATGTACTGCGTTGCCTTTGTGCGCACGTTCGCAAATAGTCGACTCGACTACTAAGTCGAGTCTTTTAAACGTCTTTTAAACGCGTTTAATTTATCGTAACGCGCTTGATCAACACGTATGCAGAGGAGGTTCGCACGTGTATATTGTGTTTACAGTGAAACCTCGTTAAGACGCTTTCGAAGCGGAAGCCCTAAGACCGCGTATTATGCGGGATGGTGTAATAGGCAGTATCCCGCACAATACGCTCTTTACACGTGTTACGCGGGATCCGGCCCGACACACCTTTAAAGCGTTTTAAATGGGATACTAGACAGAATAAAAACTCCGTGGTAATACATTTTATTTATTACACTAAAGTTAACACATAAATGTAGAATGATGCATACTTCACATTTACAACTTACAAGGTTGTTATATTATATTATACATAACATATACATACTATGTATTATTTAAAAAATAAAAAAATGGTAATGGTTTTACATTATACTGTGTATTATTTAAAAAAGAAAAAAATTAGTAATAGTTTGTTCTAATAAGTTATTTAATAAGAACGTGTCCATCCTAACTAAGTGTAAAACATATCCTCGGAGTCGTCAGTCGCAGTAAGCGCCTGTCTCAATGAAGATATTGATTGTATTTTAAAAAAAATCGTACATTCTTATCCGACGTATTAAATGGGTTTTTTTTCTATGTGTAATATGTACGAGAGTTCAGAAAAGAGACAAAGCGACAACGGTACACGTAATGTTGTGTATTATTTCTGGTTAACCTAACCGCCGTTCAAAGCGTCTATGATGACCAATGCCGTAACTACAAAATAGGAGGCCCGTGTGCGGTAATTATATTGGGCCTCTTCCAAGGATTTATTTTTGTTCATTTTAAGTATTAATTTTTTTAGGTTTTAAAACACGTTCCACATCAGTTAGTGTATGATATAATATATCATTTATTAATATTTATATATATATATATTTATTAATATTCTTTGATATATGTATATATGAATGGTTCCGGCGAATAAGGGCTTATGTCGGATTTTGTTAACATTTTTTTTTATGGAATAATGTCATATATCAGGTGTATAATGCGTTTCTATGGTTTTTTATACTGAAAGAAGCCACTAGAAGCCACGAGAATTGCCTATGTATACAGAAATGACAGCATTTTCAGTAGTAAAAGAGCCTATGTCATATAGACGTGGCGTCATTTTTTTGTTATCATTCGTAACTAATCATTTAATTATATTATAACCAAAATATGTTATATCGTTTAATAACTGTAATTATTTTTTTTCTTATTCATTAAACAAACATGATACACTTACATATGCAACAGGTTTTTATTTTAAAACTTTACAGTGGAAGAAGGGCCCATGTCACTCCAAAAGACATTGTAATTAATAATATTAAGTTAAATATTGTTTTTCAGCGCTCCTGAAAAGTTGAGAAATCCGACATAAGCCCTTATTCGGCATAACCATTCATATGTCACACTAATTACCTATAACTGTTGCATATTATACTTCACTGCATATTTATGTAGTAAATTTATTTAAGTAGTTTAGGTAGGTATGTTGTATGCCTACTCAATGGACTCATTGTTAAATAAATATTATATTATCCTAAAATGTTTTAATAACCTTACTTGAATTTTAAAAAATTTTCTTTTTATTATTAAATAATTGTGTGTTTGTAAAGTGTAGTTTATTTCAGTCTGGGATTAGGGGTTCCCCCAAATTTATGTAAGCCTTGGGGCCCGTGTGTGCGGCACACTCTGCACACCCGGTTTTTGTGGCACTGATGATGATGGTCGGAAACCCGTGTGATAGGTGCGAACGGAGCGTGCCCAAATAGTGACACACAATCGCAGAATCGATCCGTTGAAAAGCTGACAACTACGATTTAGACAACCGTGGAATTATCGAAAGCGTGTCGTGTCCTTACGAAGGTGTTCTGTCCGTCCGACCGAAGTCTTTGCAATGACACGACACTATTCGATCGCGTCCATCGTAGTGTATCTGTTCTTACTCGGATGTCAAGAGACGAGAAGGCTTAAACGTCAATATGCTCATCATAATAAATGTTCATTCGATAGTATTTAGAAAACACCGTCTGAACGTTAAGTATATTTCGTTTTCAGTTAAACGAGATTTTTGAAATATGTTATTTTTTACCTTTACTTATTGATTATTAAAATTGTTTTGAAGTGGATAGCAATACAATCATAATAGCTCTATGCGGTCTATACCGTTAACTATGCGACATGTTAAATTTGATCACCATTGTTGAGGCATGATAACAGCAACGACGACGGTCGCCGCCGTCGCCGTTAATCATGTAGGTCAATGACCTAATTAAAATAATACACATATATTTATTATCACCGATCGACCAACACATACACGCACTTTAATATTAAGTTTATTTTAATAATTGTTTGAGAATTATTATAGTGTTATGTAACCAAAAAGTCCGTGTCGTGTGTGTATTATTGTAATTTTCGTACGTGATCTTTCTTCTCGCGCGAAACACCGTCGAATGCGGTATAGTGTGTCATTATTTAATTTTTATGGGCAAAAATTGTCATTTTATCATTATTATTATTGTTATTTTCGTAAGCGCAAATCACTACTGAAAAAGTGTGTTCATCACATAATATTATATTATTTTATATTTACAAATTGTGCGAGTGTGCACGAGTTGCCACATATTTTATAATTTTAGTGTCTTATATCATTTTAGCATATTTATATAATTTAGGTATAGGTGTGCAGCTGGCCAGTCTGCGCTCCACCAATTCTGTGAGTTTTACATATTTTTTATTTTAATATTTATTATTGTGCCAAAAGGGCCACATATTTATATTTTACTTGTTGGGCCAAGAAGGGCCGAATCATACTCTTTATTATATTTATATTTTCCTTTTGTTTGGCTATAAGGGCCGAAAATTTAAATATTATAATGTTTTACTTGTTGGGCCAAGAAGGGCCGTAATTTATTACCTAGTTATATAGTTGTTCATATTTTTACTGAAATTTATTTGAGTTACCATTTATCTGAGTTACCTATTTTTCATTATTTTTAAGCACACACAAAACACATACATAGATACACACATACCACATTTAAACACCACATAGCTCACTGGTATTTGCGCGGCGAAACCAAACACTACTAGTTGAGCTATACACCGCACTACACACGTCACAAACACAGTCGGTGACGTGTAATACACGTAAAGTCGGTGACCGGGAATGCACATATTATTTGTAGCGTCCGGCCCAAACAACCATTATAATGTAAGATCTAATAAGTCATGAAAATATTCATGTATTAAAAAAAATTTAAGTATGAGGAAGAAAACCAAGGGATATTAAAAATCATTAGTTGCAGGTGGTACAAAAAGTAATAAAAATTCATTTTTTAAGAGCTAATAAAGTTATTTATTAATATTCAACTGCATGCTACAATAAAATAAAATAACTATTTAATATTATTAATTGAATATCGTATAATGCATAAATGACTGCAAATTATTGTAGATCATGTGGATTTATAAAAATCAACATCACACTGAAATAAAAATAAAAAAAATAAGATTAATAACAAGACCAACAGAATTAAATCAAATGCACGCAAATATATTGACTATAGTTAATTAAATATAAGAAACTATAAAACACATACATTGTTGTCGCAGCAAGATTAAGAGTTAGATTTGAGTTCTTTGAGAATATCGAAGGTTAATTCTCTGATTTCTTTAGCGCTCAGTTCAATGTTGAAGTCTTGTTCAAGTGCTTGCTTGATATCGGTACCCATCAGCGAGTCCATACCCAATTCGGTCAGTGTGGACGTACCCAAAACATTCTTGGGATCTTTGATACCTGTAATCGATTATTCATAGTCCAGCAGTCAGTAATGTTAAAGCGTGTGGTAAACGAATTTGTTTCTACTTACCCAAGACTTTAGCAACAGCGTCAATGGGCCCAGCTGATTCAGCTTCGATACTGGTTGCTTGCTTCTCCACGATAACCGCGCTCGAGAGAACGGCATGCGGTTGATTCATATAATTGTCAACGACGTTCAAACATGACGCAATCCTTTGAGGTACTGTACCACTGACCACTACATCGTTATCATCGAAGACGTCCAACAATGGGCCTACATCTCCAATGGCTCCCCATTCGACAACAGTCTGAAATTTTAAAATCGTTCAAAATCCATCGTGACCAAAATAAGTACACTAGGCGACTTCGCCGAATAAGAAATGAATGACATTTACCGATGGGTATCCAGCAGCTTGTCGAGCTTCGGATATTCTAGTTAAAGCCGAATCGGTGTAACCATAGTTGGCGTTAAAAGCGGTACCGTGACCGGAAGCATTCGACGACCAGATGAAGAAGTGTTCGAGTTGTGGACATAGTTTTCTAGAAGCTATGTCAAGGTTTATGGTAGAATTAGCTTTCTGGTTGAATATCGTTTGGAAATCAGAAGCAGACAACTCTGAAGCTGTGGTTGTGTGTGATACAGCTTCTAAATGGAATATTCCTGCAACCGGGCCTAATTTGTTTGCTTCAACCAGCAATTTTTCAGCTTCTGCGGGCTTAGCTGAATCGTAGTCGACAATGACTACCTGGACGTTCTTTTCACTCCATCTCCTTATGAAGAGTGATTGGAAACCGGAAGAGACTCCTGTGCTAGAAACCAAAACTAACTTTCTTGCACCTCTGGTCACCAAGAAGTTGGCCATTTGTAAACCAAAATCGTTCAAACCACCTAAACAATTGTTATTCAATGACAAATGATTAAAAAAAAACCACAAGAATCAATAAGTTTAAAAATTGTATAAGTAGACAAATTACACGCACCGATCACAGCATATGTTTTCTCTGGATCGACAAACGTTTTTGGTACAGCCAAAACTTTTTTCTGTGCTGGGACAACAACTTTTTTCGATTCCTCATCTCGAACTTTGAGTACGATTTTGCCGTAATAGTTGAAACTTACAGTCACACTACGTAAATGAAACAAAATATTAGCCAGATAAGTCAAAACGATAAAAATCACATTAATTACTTAAAAGCTTCCTGTAAATTCTGTTCACTAGAGTAAACTGTTGTTGGCAATGGTTGTACGGCTCCGGTCTTGATTCCATTAGCAATAAGTTCGTGGAGTTCTTGTTTTTCGGTGAGAGAATATTTACCGTGGAACAAAGATTTCAAGTTCATTTTGACAATGGTGATGTTCCTTAGATTTCCAGTAATACCTGATAAGATTTAACGCCATGTAGATGTAATTTCTTTAACAGTTTTTAGCAAATTAACACGTACCGATGGATTCAATAGCTAGTTTTTGTTTTTCGAATTCTAAAACACGTCCGCTTTCTGCCACCGTGCGAATGAATGTTTGTAATTTGAAAGGTGTAGATTCCATTGTGTTGAATATTAAATTCACACCTTTGCCATTGGTCTTTTCTAGAATTTCTTGCTCTGCGAATTTACTGTTGACAATGTTCTCCTTGGGAATCTATGAAACAATATTTATGGTGAAAATTATTAAAGTATATGAGTGATGTGAATTTATAATCTACCTTAGGATAGTTCTGTTGTATATATTTTCTTTGAGAGTCATTTTCTACCGAAACGTATACTGTTACGTTGCTATTCTGTAGAATGTTAAGAGCTGCTAAGACTGTATAATTTGTTCCGGAGCTGAGGAGTACCGATTCATTGGCTTGAATTTTTCCGCGTACAAATAGTCCATAGTAGGCCTGAAATAGAACAAATAATTCGCTTCATAATGAGGCACGCAGTTACTGTTGTTTATAAGAACGTATGTTTCAAAACATGATTTAGTATAAAAATAGATAATAATAGTAAATTAATATCTGATCTTGCGCGTTGATTATAATTTAATAGAAAATAATGAAAAATATTAGTAGTATTCAACGATAGCTTACTAGGACGTAAGCGACGGAAACCGTAGATGCTTGTTCAAGAGTCCATTTGTCGGGCACTTCCCATAAAGTCGCATTTTCAGCTAACACGTGAGTAGCAAGAGCGCTGCCTGACACCAAACCAAATACTCTTTGACCTTTAGCGTTGCGGCCGGCGAACTCTCTGCCCAAATAGGCACCTTGGTCAGCAGTATCAGCGTTGAAGAACGGAAGCCACGAGCCATCAGCGAACAGCACGTCCATGTGGTTTATTGGAGCGTAGTACACGGTGCAAAGCTCACGGCCCGAGTAGTCCTGGGGTCTAAGGAGATAAAGTAAAAACACGTATGTAAATATTGCCTAGTCATTCATTTTTTTTTTTTTTTGTTCGTTCATATTTACTTATAGTACTGCAAACGACCTTCAATCCAGCTTAATGTTGACAAGTCACCGGCTTTCTTAGGAGCAATGTACGCATATTCTTTTGGTACAGCTACATTAGAAGACTGATCATCTAACAGGAAATGGCGGTTGCTACCCCAGACACCATTGCGGTACACATTTATCACTAAATCTTTTTTCAGTTGCTTTTGGTAAAACTCAGACGACAGAGAAAACGTGGGTGCTTTCGGGTCTTCGATCAACAAACATCTGCATGAATGTAAGGTTAATTAATAATGTAGGTGTTAACAACACAAATATTGATGTACAACATTACAGAAGTCTATTATTTGTTTACGTTACCTTAATGCGTTTCCGTTTTGTTCTAAACGGACACAGTTCACCAAACCTAAAATTCCTGAATACTCGACACCTTGGCTAACTAAAAGCACTTGTTTATTATCCTGTTCAGACTGCTGGAGTGCTGATTTAAGCGTTTCGATCCAAGAAAAGTCTTTGCCAGTGCAATTTACCACGATTGGCGAGGACAAGTTCACATTCTACGGTTAGTCACACATAATAGTATATTCTATTCTTATTAAATCGGTTTTAATAAAAGTGATACTGTTACTGACCTTTCGGAGGAGAACAAATGTTTTGTTGTCTTGTGATTGTAAGTTGGCAACTAGTTCTAATCCAGTCGAGTTCAGTTGTTTTTCGGTTGGTTTTTTGCTTTCAACAAACAACAAACAACCACCAACCTTTACACTGTCGATTGCATTTTTAACCAAAATAGCATTGTTCAATTGGTCAACAGCAATCACCAGATGACAATTCGAATCAATTGCTTCAGGTTTGAACACATCTTTCTCTGTAACTCGAACACCAAGTTCATCAAGTTGCTCTGTTATTTGTGCTGGCGTGTTGGTGAATACAGTAACTTCCGCCTGTGCAAATACGATAATTTTAAGAAAATTATTAAGTTCTTTTTTTTTTTTTTTAATTTTTACTAACACTTGGTATAGGTTCAGTATTCATCACATCAAGAACAGATTTGGCGTATAGTGATTCCAATTTTCTTCCTGTTCCGATCTCGGCAATCTTCAATTTGAAAGCGCCACCGCTGTTTTCTAAGGCTAATTGAACACATGTGTCTAAGGCATATGCCGTTGGCTGAAAACGAATCCCAATATAAGCTATAGTTAAAAAAATTATATTACTGTTATAATGTAGTTTACCTTCTCAGAAACGTAAGGTTGGAAAGTGTAGAACTCTAAATTGGGATCTTTTTGCCCTTGGTTTCTAATGGGAACTTGTTCTAATTTTAACCCTCGTACTTCAACGCTACCGGCCTTGATGACATCAACATACTTGTAATAAGCAGCCGGGATAACTATATATATAAATAAAATAATTTTAAATTCATTGATTATAAATTAATTTAAAAAGTTATTACCAAACGATGACTTTTCGGCTTCCTTTTGGTGCTTCGAAGGATCAATGACTACTTTTTTAATAAATTTGGGAACGAACAGATTATAGTTATCTAATTGGAACAATGGGATCTGGAATAGATTTTCCAAAAACGTAAACCAATTTCCATCAAAAGACACCTGGGCATTATATCCTAGAACAATGAAATTGTATATTAAATCATATCTCTAAGCGTATAATCTTATAAATTTTTATATTTTAGTATAAATTATGTATTTTAATATTTGATTGCTTATTTTTAAACAGTCATAATTTTTTATTTTATCACAATTCTGTATTATAAATTAGTTGTTACCTATATTATCAATCAATTTGATGCCTCTATACGGCTCTTTGTAATCGTATCCTTTCAAACGTAGTTCCTTATAAATATCAGCCGATTTCAATGGTAAAAATTTGCCAGATTTCGTTTTAGATGGGAACAAATTCAATAACTCTTTTTCTACAGTATTTGATGCTCTAATTTGCCCTGAAGCTACAATCTCATTAGATTCTTTAAGTTCAAATTCTCCTGATGCCAACACACTTAAAACAAATTTAAGTTCACCTAAATGAAAATTAATTAGATAGTGACATTGTTTTGTTTATTTATCGAAATTATCATTTATTGTTTATATTTACCTTCCTTTGGAATAATTGTTTTTCTTATAAATTCTACATTATCGAAGACAATCGTAAGTGTTTGTGGCTCTCGTTGTAATAAATTAGCGAAACCCTTCCACGCCAGAGCCTATTAATAAAATATGTTGATTAACTTGACATAAAGTAAAAATAAGTGTTTGTGTAAAAACTTACCAAATAACTAGCATAAGGTAAAATATTTAAATCATCGATTTTAGTAGATTTTAAAAAGCTGTACTCATTTGAATTAATATCGACTTTTAACGTAGCTTTACCAGATTTGGAAGCAATCTGTAATATAAACGACAAAATAATTTATGTAAAGAAAATAATTAGGGTTTAATTTCAATTTAAGTTATAATATTTATAAAAATTACAGGGCCAGTGAAGCAAACAACGTCCCATTTTTTAGTGTGGTCCCATTGGACTAATGATTGAATCATTGGAGTACGTGCAGACACGGGGAATTTCACTGGAGGATGAAGGTGTTCAATTTGAGGCTGAAGGCCAAGGTTGAATAAGCTACATAAACATGTGTTAATATATTAAAATATGGTCATAATTTTCTAAAAATTTTTTGATTTACTTACTCTCCAACGCTTAGTAATAATTGTTTATACGAATCGTTAGCATCTTTAATTAGATTTACATGAACGGCATCAGTACTTAGATTATTTGAAAAGTAATTATCAGTTTGTGACTGAGCGAGTATTTGAATGAAAATTGCATCGACTGGACATTTCACTAAGGAATCCTGACAATAAAATAAAATAAAAACAATTTGATTTAAGATTTATGAACTTTAAAAAGCATAGTTTATTGCATATTGTATAGTTAATTGTTTATACCTTAAGTGTCAATTGGGTGGCTAGACTATCAACAAAATATGATAAGGATAGTGATTGACTTCCTAAAGATTGCGAAGCACTTAACCAACGGGCAGAGAATGCCTTTGGTTTGGTAATAATCTGTGGCCGAACACAACAGTAAAGATAATTAATTATTTAGAAATGAGTTATGTATTTAATAATGTTTGACATAAAAATGATCAAGTTGATTATTATGAACTCACGGACTGTAAAGCAGACTGAATATGTTTGGATACTTTTGATACGTCTTGAGAAGACAATACAGGTTCTAGACGTAAATGAAAACATTATAAGTAAATGTAAGTGTTTGAAAGCAATTAAAGATTTATAAATATATTTACTATTTTGAGAAGGAATAATTTTTGCTTCAGCTAATGCGTTTCCAATAGCATAGGCTGATAATACGGCTTCTTCTGCACTCAAAACACCTTCTGCGTAAGCTGCAGCTAGTTCGCCAAATGATTCTCCTATGATGTAGGATGGTGATATTTTCAAATGTGCAAGTACGTTCAAAAGAGCGATCTGAAATAATGTAATATCAAATATTTGAAAATAGTTCAGATCTTAAAATATATGATCGCATTAATTAATATTAAACCCATACTTGAATGACTGTTGAAGCTACAACCGATAGAGAAGGATCCTGTAATGTTACGGCGTCTGAAGTTTTCAATACAGAGTATAGATTAAATCCTTTCTTTTGTAATACACTCGCACTCTCTTCGATAGACTCGTTGAATATGTGTAATTTTTGCAATTGGTTTCCAACATCAGCCCAGTTGGTTTCCGCTCCCGGTAAAACAAACACAACCGGTTTCTTTTGGCCGTCGAATTCCTAACACACGGTAATTATTTAGTTAACGACTATTTATAACTTTTTCGCTGGGTTTTGTTATTCTTACTGCAAATTGTTGTGTCTTATCGTACATTCCATTGAATAATATATACCCCCTGTACTTGTGGCCCACTATTTGATCGCTGTGGACTCCGTACAATAAAGCGTAAAATTCTTTGTCTCTGGGCATTTGGTCAATCTAAAATAAATACAACAACCATCGATATAGTTTAGAAATTCTTCGAGCATTAGAAAAACAGTACTCTATGTAACATGTATTTGATAGCGCTTTCATTTCTGGCCGACACAGCGACTAATCTGGGCAATTCTTCTTCGAGCTTTGTTATCTGCTTCTTTTGCTTTGTGTATGACTTCATTAAACAATGTCCGTTAGCGCCTCCTACTCCGAAAGAGTTTACCGCCACTATACCACCATTCCATGGCACAACGTTTTCAACGACCTACAATAATATGTAAATATTAAATGGGTCAAGCGATTAAGCAAGGTTGTCACTAACGTGTAATCTTCCATCCACCAAGGCCGGAATATCTGGGTTTGGTATATTGTAATGTAAATTAGGAGGCAAGAGTCTACATTCCATAGCGACAAGGACCTTAATTACAGCACATATTGCTGAAGCTGGTTCTCCGTGTCCCATGTTAGATTTAAGTGCACCAATTGGAAGCGGAGTTGTTCTTCCATCACAAAATACATCAACAATTGCACCGACTTCTTGACGATCACCCACCTGAAAGTAGTCACAAGATTAATACAATTTAAATACGTATTATTCAATTATGTCGCGAATAATGGACGCTTACGATTTTTAAACATTACTTGGTCGTTACTCTGTTTTAAGAGTATATTATAATCCGTTATGTATAAAAATATCATATCAGTAACGTTGTGTTTATCACAAATAAACGAGTAATCATAATAAAAGTTTATTTGTCTGAACTTACTTTTGTAGCAGATCCATGAGCTTCCATATAAGCCATATGAGTAGCATTTACACCGACTTCATTTTGAACTTGTCGGAACAGAGAAATTTGCATCTCCCGCGATGGAAAGGTGATGCCCTCATCTTTGTAACCGTCAGCGTTGCTGCCAGTGTTCAATATACTGGCGTAAATGCGTTTGGCATTTTTCGCTTTTTGTAACAGCACGGCAACAGCTCCTTCTGATCTTACGTATCCGTCACCTATTAGAACGATTATAAACGCTTAATCAATACCACTTATTATACTTATTAGTCGCACGTAGCCATAATCTTTAATTTTGTTAACTTTCGGAACACTAGAGCGCATAAAAGTTGTATTTATTTAGAGGTCTTTCGGTATACCTTCGGCATCGAACGAACGGCACTTTCCACCTGGTGACAACATATTCAAATGTTGGAACATGAGAGATACTACTGGGTTCATTACAAGGTCGACACCGCACACGATAGCGTTTTCACAAACGCCGTCTTGGATAAGCTTAAAACCTTGGTGGAGAGCAATCAGACTGGTAGAAGATGCCGTGTCTATGGAATAACTCGGACCTGGAAATCGATAAATCTTCGTTAAAATCATCGAAAAGCCGTTAAATGAAATATAGGTAGTTTACCCTTCAAATCGAAAAAGTTTGACACGCGGTTTGCGCTCATTGTTCTCGAAGTACCCAAATATTCGTACCCATTGACTTTCTCGGGGTCTTTAGACCACCAATCACAAGTTTCACTTGATGACAAAGCCACTATGACTCCAGTACGGGTTCCCTTCAGTGCCATTGGATGAAGTCCTGAATACAATATCAAAACCATCGAAAATTATGTTTATGTATTATAATTAAAGAGCGGATTTAATTGATATTGCAACTTTTTATTGATACCCAGTAAATCAAATCTGAACAAATATGTATACGAATCAGATTAATTACAGTCTTTCTATTTAATTTAATAATGCAATTTTTTGCAATTTTCAACAATTTTGCAATAAAATATATAAATTACTATTTCTAAAGTGATTTTACAAAAAAAAAATATAACTACGACATAAATTTTTACATGTAGTTAAATGTAGTTAAAGATTTTTAAAATCATATTTATCTGAGTTATCCACAAAACTTACAAGTTTAGAAGAATCAAATAATCAATTACTTAATAGTTTAAACATATTTAGTATAAATACTAAATAGATAAATAAATACTAATCAAATACTAACTAAATAAAAATATTTAGTATAAATATTTCTATAAATATTCCCGGTCCCAATGGAAAAATAGTTAAAAATAAATCTAAACATGTCTTAGAAAAAATGAGGGATATAAACCAATTAAAACTTACTCTGAGATTATGACAGGAAATCAATATATTTGATATGATTTTACTATGTAATTTTAATGTATTTCATTGCAATTTTAATATATTTATACTGCAATTTTGTTACATTTTCATTGCAATTTTGGCATCTTTTTTGTGCAATTTTAAGATATTTTTAATGCAATTATATCCGGTCTTGAATTATAATATATAAATTACCTATGCCATACTGAGTATGGGACAGAAAAAACAAGTCGGTAACATTCCTATGATAGGCAACCAAACATTCATCATGACTAAAAATACAATATTTTATGTATTGTAGTAGATATCACGTACGATAATTGCTTATTGTGAAATATTTGTCGACTAGATCTTTCTACCCCATGCCTTACATTTTTTTTTAAATTTATAACTATTTGCCTGGTTAGATTTTTTGCATATTTCATCGTTTGTGTTGTAATAAGAATTATAGTAAGTGATGCGAACAAATATTTTTTTCAAACGAAATATTTTTTTTTTTTTTTTACAACCAGTATATATGTGTATAAGTTGTTTAGTTAGAAAATTGCATAATTATAAAATGTAGATAAATATAAAGAGAGTTACAAGTGAAAAGAAGAAGTCACCCATTGTTGGGTCTCCATTACGAGAAGCTATACATTGATTTATATTGCATTGGCAAAAAAAATAATATCAAGAATATATAATTTTAATTAATAAACTAATCAATTATATGTACAACGTCTAACCTATACACTAATTCAATATAGAAAAATCATAATTTCTAGATGACGGATAAGAAATATGGAGCATCAATATCAAATTTCAAAGATGTCAAGTAACATTAGCGACTGCCGTATTAAAAATTTGGAAGTGTTTTTTTTTATATTGTTTTTATTTCAAATAATGAACTCTAATTGTAAAAATATTGAACTTATTATCAATTTGTCAATTGAAAATGTCAGTTGTTATAAATTATCTTTATATATTAATTACTATACAAGTTTTCTTACATAATAAGAATCATCAAAGAATTTTGAATTATTTTGTAATTATTATGATAATCTTTAAATTTAGCGGCATTAAAAAAATGTTACATTATTTTCATTAAAAAAAATTGTATTTTTTTGCAAAATGATGATGTAAATTAGAAATCATTGGTTTCTTGATTAAAAATCGATAGCTGTGTATCAATATCTAAGTATATATATGTATATAAGTATAATACATATATATATATATATATAAAGTGTAAATATTTCAGCGTTATATTTGTATGTTATTTGTCATATTTTCCTGTTTCACTCTGTATGTAATTTATACAGTATTACACTGTATTACATGCCATCGGTTATTATGAAATATTATTCCTGATCTCATGAACATCATTACCAACTATTTCTATTGTACACGTATATATAGAGTTTGGCAGTATGATAAACAGAAGTAAATATTTTATATCGTAACGCTTGAAAAAATGTACAGTTTCATTTTAATGTGAATAAAATTAAACATTTTTATGATAATTAATAATAGTAGTTTACATTACCAGCATCGATGATTGTTTCAAAAACAACTTCCAGCAACATTCTCTGCTGTGGGTCAGAACGTTCAGCCAAAACGGGGGGGTAACCGAAAAATTCTGCGTCAAACTGAGTGATGTCTTTCATTTTACCGGTTCTCATAATGGCGCCATACAGACCTAGAAAACACGCACAAAAATTATTGGATTTTCCGATTATATTAGAATTAAAAAAGAAACTGTCTTAGTTTTTATCTTTCCTTCGAACAGTACACGGGCGTAGTTATTTGACATTAATGAAAATAAATTATTATTTTTAGTTTAACGAAAAAACAGTACAAATAAACGATGACAATCGCGTTAAGAATAATATTTTTAATGAAAACCTATACAAATCAGTAACATAGTTGAGTTTATCTGTTGAAGGTTTTTCGAAAAAAATAATCCAACACAGACACATATTAGCTTGAAAAAAAATCTACCGCTGCGATCAATTCTTTTTTACCCAGTCGAACCACAAAAAAACAAACAAAAAAAAAACACAGAGCTCCGGAACAGAATAACTCTAAACGAAGTTTCCCGTTGTTTAAAAATGTTAGTGTCACGCAATATTCTACGCGGAACGCGGGACAACTGATGGCGAACGAGTAAAAAGCTTCAACAAGGCTTCAAACCGAACGCGTTCGAAAACCCAAGGACCCGCTGGGCACTTTCTATCAGTCTACGGGTTATAATTATGCGATCGGAATCGGAATCGAACGCGAACGATCGTACGACGTTGATGTCGGTTCGAATCGCGAGAGTGAGTAAGAGCGACCATTTACCGTCGGGCCATCTCGTCGGGTTCGCGTTGACCATGTCCTCGCCGGCGTACAGTTTCGTCCTGAGCTCGTCGATGGAATCGCACTCGGGCATCCTGCCGGAGAATCCGGTGACCACGATGTCCTCGGGCTGGAAGCCGAACTCGTCGGACAGCACGTCCGGCTTGACGGCGGGTTCGTTGGCGTTGGGCGCCATCTCGCAAATCGGATTTTTGTCGGACTGGTGTGACACGACGCGACAAGGTATCTGTCTAGTTAGCGTTCGTTCTGCGCGGGGTGTTCGGTCGACGCGTTTACGTGGATAGAACGGTGACGGCGAACTTTCGACAGCGGACGTACAGGGAATGCAAAACCCACGGTCCGCAGTGCCGTTTAAATAGACCCACGAAAACCGTGCGTTACAAAACCGTGCGCTTTTTTTTTTCTTTTCTTTTATCTTTTTCGCCCGGTTAAATGTTTTCGACCGTTTGTTTTTTCATCGCCTTACGTAAAAATTAATTATGTGCGCGACGACGTAACCGTCAGATAACCCGCGCCAAACGGAAAACGTAATCATATTTATCATACTTTTTTCATATTCGCCCCGTCGTCTATCAGCGCTGTGACTTTTAGGTAACACAAAGGTCGTAGTCGTCCCAAGCTGTTCATGTTATTGTATTTTATTTATTTTTTTTCCCCGCGTTAGGTAAGCGAGCTACCCGATCAGCGTTCTTTTTTCGTGGTCGACAATCGCCAACAGTTGAATAACACCGTGACATTTTTACCATTACGTAGTGACAAAAATCTAGTAATGAAAAAAATTCGAATTTAGCGTGGTTTGAAACTCTGGGTTTTTGAAATACGTATTTCATTTCTAAAATTCTAATTTTGCTCTTAATCCAAACATTGAATTTTTAACCATTGTATTAGGATTTTCATTTCTTACAATAAAATCATAAAAACTACACGATTTTTTTCAAAATTAAATACAATTAATATGTTTACGATTAAAAAAACCGGTTACAACTAGAATTTTTTTCATCTAACACAATCAACAAAATAAAATCGTTGTGGTGTTAAACTCTTACAAAACGTAATTTAAAACTGATAGATTTTTAGATTTTATAATTCAAAAAATCAGATTTTTAACATTATATAGGTAACAACGGGAAAATAACTTTAGTTTACCAACAGCAAAAACATTGAATATGAATTCATTAATGTTATCACTTCCGTAGTGCACTTGTAAAATACGACAATAGTAGTTTCATAAAATTATTAGATTCGTTTGAGGTAAATATATTGATACCTGTTAACCATATCTTATTTCATGGTAACTATAGGAATAATCGTTTTTCGTAACGGAATTGTTAGTTGTAACCACGATAAAGTGTTGGTAGGTTTTATAGGGATTATCACCACCGCTGTCGTTTAAGATTTCAATAGTATAAAGTTGGATATGATTTTTAATCACATTTGTCTTCAACAGGGTATAAAAGGTTCAGGTATTCTTTTAGACTATTTGGCAATCAAAATCATTACATGATTCATTGAAATTCTAGTTTAAATAATATTAAAATAGGGGAGATTTTAATCCAAAATTAATATGTTATGTCCATAGGACTAAAATAAAGCCTTTTATAGGAACAAAAGAAAATATCGTGCTTAGATATATTATTATGTTGTGAAGTACGATAATGGGATAAAAACCATTTTACTAACGCATCATTTTTAGGATAAAAACGATTAATTTTAATTTTGAAGAACAGATAAAACTTAAAAATCTGAATTGTTAGGTATCAAGTCTATATAAAACGGGATAAAACTTAACCAGGATATAATATTCAAATGATCAACCCACACATGTGATTCTTATTTTGCTTTACTCTGTCATAGACCTATAAAATACGTTTTTGTTACCTATGTTCATATTATACATTAGTTTATTATAATTTATTTTTATTTTAATTTTATTAGAAATAAACAATCTATGCTATAGCACTATATTTCACTATAGTGAAATACTATAAGTAAATATGATGACAAAATATACAGGTGAGACATGAGTTATGTGAGGAGGAAGTCGTCCATTTATGTAACCCAACGCGATATTATTTTGTTGCAGATTTATTTGAGTAAGTCTCTATATCATTCATTATAATAATACACTTAATTTTTTTAGGTTGCCTAACCTGTGCGTTAATCGTTATTGGTTTACGCTGTGTCCTCTAAGGTGAACTAGATTAGCCAATGGTAAAAGGACAAAATTATGGATGGTCTTCAGTTTGAAGTTTGAAATTCAGTTTTAAAAAACTGATTAATTCAAATTGTAATATTTTATAGTTCACATTTATACATTTTCCAATTATCTTTAGGGCATTTGATGACATAGTTTCTTTAATTTCTAGAAAAGATAAAGGTTGTAAATATTGTATATCAATATTTAATGTGCCATTTTTGGAAAATATTTCATTTAAACTCGTTTAAACTCATTAATATGTTCAGCTATAAGTTTGTCCAAACTTTGAGCTGAAGTTAAAGTTTCATGTAATTGTGTTTTTCTAGGTTATCTTTTACGTTTGGAAAATTCATTTTTAACAATAATATGTTCAAGTAAATTTAGGTCAGAACATTTTTAATTAATATCTTCTGTAAAGTGTTGAGGATCAGAATCTCGTTAAGAAAATTAAAAGCTCGTCCTAATCGTTCAGTGGTTCCAAACCCTATATTGAATCAGGACTTGGCCTGATATATTTTGAAAATCTAAGATGAAAGCCGCTTCATATTGGCCCAAAGTAAACAGCCGCGATATATCCTTTGATTGCTTATACACAGTGCTGTCTTATATTTATTTACGATTATCAAAAAAACTATAATTAAACAATCAGTTTTTATATAGAAATAAATAAATAGACAAAATCTTAGTCTGAAGTATAATTATGTTTGTGAAGTACGACAGGGTTTCGAATTGAAAATTCATCATGAGGTATATATAAAATCAATAAAATCGCGACTAAATATGAAAAAATGCAGGATGGAAGTACATTGAGAAAAATTAGTCGTTTTTCACAGATAATTTATTTTAATAGGAGAATATTTATTTCAAGTCATTAAAAAACTTTGTTTATACCTAACAATGAACTTTTAATTCGAAATCAGTCATATTTTATAAATATAAGAATATTTCAAGCTAAACTTATTTATTTATTTTTATATATAAACTACTTGTTTATTTATTTATATTTTTGTTGCTAATCATATGTAAAACTAAGACGGCGCGACGCTGTGTATAGGCAATTAAAGGGTGGTTCGCGGTTATTTGGAATATATTGACATAATGCCCTGTGTGAACACTTAAAGTAGATATTAATAATTTATAACAATTTTAAAGTATGTAATAAGAATTTATTCCAAGAACATATTTTCTAGATATATGTTAATAACCATGCATGACTGTAGATTATGACCGTTTTACTTCAATTTGGGTTACTGCTAAAATGTGTTCTCTTTGAATTTCTGTAAAAATATTTACAATTTTAGATTTGAGGTGCTCAGCATTTAAATATGGAGTTGAATTTATCAAATATATATTTAATCAATTTGAATGGCTTATGTTCTATAAGTGTGTTTTCCTGGTCAAAAACTAGTTGGTATTTTTGACTTTTACTGTTTAGGATATTATTGCGGGTGTATTATTATTGTATTAATTATCAATAGGCTCATCAATAGCATGATGGGTTCCGGGGATAACTAATATTATTATAAAAATTGTTTATATATTTGAAACTATGAATTGCTCTTATTATGTATAATAACACATTAAGTTACTGTAGAATGTATGCATTACTCAAAAACTAAATTAAAAAAACAGCCCACATAAATATCCGTACTAGATTATGAGTTATGGAAAAAAGAACTTTCCAATTAATCAACATATTGTGTATGTATATTTTGTAAAGTATAACATTATACCCGTTTACGTTTATAGATTATATTAAAAAAAAAAAAAAAAAAAAAAACACTTGGCATTCAATAAAAGTATTTTATTACACACGCTAGTTGTTTTATAATAATAATAAGTTGAAAATAACGTATTATTTATTTATTTTATATCTATAAACCAAAATATTAATTAAGTTCATATGATTAACATGATTAGATTTTTAATAATTATCATGATATGTTATGTACTCGGCAATTATGATTAGTAAATCTAATATTTACGATTCATTGATAAGATATGGACCTGAATTGTTTATTAATATTTATCAACCTTAATTTAAGGATTATAAGTCGCCAACATATCTAAATATAATAATAAGTGATATTAGAAAGAAAAAAGATATTATAATAAAATACGGGTGGTGTAACAGGTTGTACGCGTGAAAGTACCCAATAAAAACAAAGAAATTCTACTGCTATCTTATATTTTGAGATTTATTTAACACAATGACTGTAGACTGAGTTCGTGATTCGTATACTTCCTACGGCTGCATTGTCTTAGGCGAGAAGAGCATTAATCTTGGCTCGGAGAACCGGGAAAGTCATTAGTCTCAATTCTTCGATATCCACTTGCGCGTTGGTTTGTTCTTTGATGACTTTTAGGACGCGTGGTGCAAGAATCGTGTCTAGACCTAGTTGAGCGAGCGTGTATGTTTGATCGATTTTGGACAAGCTTTTATGACCTGTAAATCGAAAATGGAAAATTGCATATTATGAATACACGACACCATTTCACCCTATGCAGACGATTGATGGTCGATGTACTCAAACTCAGTGATCAAATGTAATTCTTAGATTTTTGGCGATAAAGAGATCAAAAAAATTACCAAATATTTTCGCGATTGCTAATAGTACAGGTGATGCAGCATCTGTGTCATTGTTCAAATTCGGACCGTTGAATTTGCTCAAAGATGTAACCGTGGCTTTCTTGGAATTTTTGGTAGCATTATCTAGAACATTCAAAGCGACGACGATCGGCGATGCTGTAAAGTTTGGACTGTTGAATGAGGCGGGACTACCGTCGATTGCACCGTATTCTATAATTACCTAAATGGCAATAAAAAAAAAAAATATTTATCGGTTGTATCGAATACCAAATACCGATTCGGTATGTAAAATTTAATTAATAAGCATGTGAAAAGTTTTATCATACAATACTGTTCGTACATTTTGGTCGATATACTTACTGCTGGATATCCTGAAATTTTACGGACTTCGGCGATCCTATAGATATCCGCGTTGGCGAAAACGTAATTGGCCTTAGTTTGGGCACCTCTAGATGCTACAGATGGGGCGAGAATAACGAAATACTCTAGTTGAGGAATTAATTTCCTACTCAACGTGTCGAAATTAGCTACAGCGTCGGACACGGCGTTTTTCGCTGTTACGAAGTCATTTTCGCTCAACGATTGCAAAACATTGGTCTCAGGAGCCTGATTTTGAATAAAATTTTGAATTAAGTAAATATATTGAGGGAATAAATATTTTACTGCATACAATTGGTATAAGTTTTCTCACCGTGCTTATATAATATATTCCACCGACCGGACCGAGTGTTATCGCTTCTCTCAGTACATCCTCGGCGCCTTTCACTGTTGATGGGTCTGCAAGCGACACGACTACGGTGATGTTTTTGTTCTTCAAACGTCTTAATGTTAAATTCTTATAGCCAGACGATGGTTTCTTGTTCATTTTAGATACCAACACGAATTTACGTGCTCCTCGGTTAGCCAAGAATTGAATTAATTCTAAGCTCAGGCTTTCTTCGTCTCCTAAATATAGGTAGTCGATAAATGGAGTTAGCACTAAAAATATATTTTTATGTAAATATTTTTAACGTTAGAATAATATATTACCACTAATGACAAACGAGTTTTCAGGCGAGAAGAATAACTTCGGTAACGCGGTCACCAATTTCTTGGCTGGAAGTGTATTTTTCTTATCTTCTTCCTCTCGGATTTCGACAACAGTTCTTCCCAGGTTGTTGGCACAGTTCGAATTATATTTAAACGCCTCCACTACTTGATCGACGGGAAAAACGGTAGTTTCCATCGGCAATACTATCTTGCTTTTGATACCTTGATCGACCAATCGTTGGATGCATTTAGTATCAGACGGTGAGAAAAGAATTATGTCTGCCGAAAGCTTGCTATGCGTAATGCTCTTAAGATTTCCAGATACTCCAATTGAATCTGGCATGGGCGCAAATACTTCAAAGTCTATCAGTCGTCCGTACTCGGCCAAGGAGTTGACGAACTCTTGACGTTTGTTAACCATCGAATACGTGTCGAATATTAAATCGACTCCTTTGCCTTCGGTTTGTTCCAATAAATGTTGTTCGAAACCACCGTTGTCAGAAAGGTCAGCAAGACTATCATCGTTCAGCTGTAAGCAATAAGGTATGTTGACATTAGTTGTTTTATTCATTTTGATTTTAATGTGTACATACTTGAGGGAATCGGGCTTTCAAGAATACTCTCTGTTGTTTGTTAAACACTCCTACGTACGGAGTTGCTCCTATTTCAAGGGTGATCGCAATAGCAGCTGTACTGATTCCGCTAGCGCCAGCGTGAATGTACACGGATTCGCCTGGTTGTAGGTTTCCTCTCGCTACGAGCCCATAGTAAGCCTATTTCACGCAAACAATCAACAATAATGAACATCTGTTTATGTACAACAGCGGTAATGCGACATAACCGCGAACGGTTTTCAACTTACAATACCGTAGGTCCTTGGTACAGTGCAAGCTTCTTCTAACGTCCAATCATCGGGTATTTGCCACTTAAGGTCTTTGTGGACCAATACTGACGTAGCCAAAGCGCCACCAGGCACCCAACCGATCACTCTTTTGCCGTTGGAGTCACGTCCCGAAAATTCCATACCGAGATAGCTTCCCTGAAACGTCACATTATTTTAGCTTTAGATTTTGATCGAATTTTTATCAATGCATATAAGTTTTGCTAACTTGTCGAGTGATATCTCCAGAGACGCCTTTATACGAAAAAATACCATTTGCGAGTTTCACATCCAAACCGTTGAGTGGAACATAGTATGGGTAACATAGCTCATGGTCGGGATAACTTATGCTAGGGCTATAGTAGAGCAATAAAAAACAAATAAACCGAATTGGAGTTTGCTGAATAAACGATTAAATGATTATACGTGTAAATTTACTTGAAAGTTGATAATTTCCCTTCGAAAAATTGTAAGCTGTTGACGTCACCACCTTTTTTAGTGTTTATAAAAGCGTGTTCTACCTGAACTGTGGTTGGTTGGTATGGGACGAATACGCATGTACCCCATACACCGCTATGGAACATATTTACAGCTAATCCTTTTTTAAGTTGTTCTTGATATAGGGGAGTAGACGTGGAGAATGCAGGCGCTTTGTTGTCCTTAATTGATACGCACCTGGTGATTATATTGTATCGGTCATATTATGTTAATAATTTGGTGTTTAAATGTTTGTCGAATAATATTTACTTGACGAATTTGCCGTTCGATTCTTGTCTCAAACTCTTTGTTAATCCAATTATACCGGTATTTTCCAAATTTTGACTGACTAAAACTATATCCCTATTGCTATTGTTAGCGTTTTGAATACTAGATTTCAATGTTTCAATCCACGAAAATGAAGATTTAACTGAAACTGTCAACGGAGTGGGCGTATCGATATTCTGAAATTAATTAAATACAATGTAAATTAAAAACATAAAAGCTATCATCGCTAATGTAATTTTTAAAACATTAATACATGGAATAAGTTATAACGAAAACTATACTATCAAAATTATTGTGTAATTTATTTGTAATATTTTTTGAGTGAGCGTAAGTACTAATTTAATTACTATATTCTTTAAGTAGTAACTGTTACTGAGATATAGTTTATTCATATGGATAATAAATATTTACTAACCAAGAATTAATTTCAGTGATATATAATTTAACCATATATACTTTGTTTCACGATACCTTGCCCATTACATGTTTCTATAATTATATATATTTTATAGTTTCTATATTTTTATTTTTCTATCATTTTTTTTATTAATTTTTTCCCACAGTATTATAACATTAATAATGCTAATAAGTACATATATTATGGCATTACTTTTTTCAATAAAATGTAATATTGTTGACCATCAGTATACTTTGCGATTACATCTACTCCAGATTGTCTAAACGTCGAATTAAATGCACGTTCCACGGTAAGCAAAAAACCTCCACTTTCGACTCCAACTAATACGTTGCTCAGAAGTTTTGTATTTTCAATTACACTGTTTGCTACAACGAAAAATGATTGTTTTTCCAAAGCGCTCAGTAATACATCTTGCTCATAATAATTCACTGATGATTGATCAGATTTGTAACTGTTTATGTCTTTGGCGTACACATTAGCGTTGATCTATACAAATTAAGGTCTTTCATGTTCATATCCAAAAATAAAAATATTAGTATACACAGTATATTACGCCTTTTAAATCTTACCGGGAACAAAGATTTAGATTTGGCTAAACTTAAAATTTGTAAAACTAAAAGTTCTTGTTGTACGGTCACTACTTCTGATACGTCAAAAGATTTACTTGCGTTTTCCAAAACGATTTGTACAATATTGTTAAGTGGTTGACTAACAGGCTAGTGAAAATAAAATCAATCAGTTGAACAGTTCATAATTACTGAATACGAGATTTTATAAAATTATGTATTTTTGCATACTTCATCTGAGATAAACGGCACAAATATGTAAGATTCTAGATCAAAATCTTGTTCTAACTCTTTTCTGATTGATACCATTATAGATCTTACGTCTCTAATCTCAACCCCGGCAGATTTTATCACTCCTATATTGTCGTACACGCTGAACGACGCACCTGTAATGAAACAGAAATAAAAATTCTGGAATAAATGTCTAGTTTATGTTTTGATAAATTAGTAATTACTGTTTGAAGACACAGCCTGGTATTGTTTTTCCGGTAAAATTGTCAACTTGAACAAATATTGAATGGCGTAGTGATCTCTGGTGTCAAGTTTCAACAAGTGTAGTTGCAGCAAAGATTCGAGGAACGGAGCCCAGTTTCCGTCGAAAGCGATTTTTCCACAGTTTCCTGGGAAAAACGAATAACAAACAACGTTGAGTAATTTTTTATTTAGACATTATAAAACATTATATACCATTGTTGCTGGCTAATTTGATTCCTTGGAAGCTCTTGTTGTACTTATATCCTTTGCACGCAAGGTCTTGATAAATGTCAGCAGTTGATAATTGCTCGACTTCGTAAGCCTTTAGTTCTGATAGTTGCATTTGTTCATCAGATGATTGGATTTTAATAAAACCAGTTACAACAACGACATTATTCTGTTTTACTTCAAATTCTCCAGTTCCCTCCAAAATATTTACGTAAAATTCGATTTTACCTATTTGTTAATTTGGTATTTTAATCGATGATAGATGAGAATATATTTTGGTTGACTTACCACTTTCTGGTATAGGTATGGTTTTAATGAACTGTACGTTGTCAAAGCCAATTGGAATTTTATCAATGGATGACTGTTGAAGTTTAGCTAATCCTTTCCACGCAAATATCTATGGAACGAATAGTAATTAATGGAATAAGCTTTACAACGATAGAAAAACTATGTATACCTACTTAATTATTCGTAATTAAAAACAATAGTAATTTAAAGTACATAAATAAGTCAATTGTAATGTAATAGCGTCTGTGATATTAAGAAGTGACACAAAATGTGATAAAAGTACAGCAATGTATTTATTACATCATGCATAATTTACCGAATTAGTCAGTAATATAGTCATTCTTCTTTCTTAAAAATTATATTATATAGTATTGACATATTTTTAAACATTGTTTTATAAATATATATAGATATACATATTTTAATAAACTTACAAGATATGATGCATATGGGAATACTTCCACGCCATCGATATAATTTCCTCTGAGATAACTGTATAATTCGTTTTCGACGTCTATATCCAGTCGGACTTCACCAGATGACAAGATTTCGTGATCGATAAAAGATACTACATTCCACTTGTCAGAATGATCCCATTCGACTAACGGTTGAAGTGATGGTGTACCTCTGGATACGGGGTAACTAATTGGTGGATACAGATTTTCTAATTTTGGATGTAGTCCGGCGTTGAAAAGTTTTCCGATGCTGGACAATAAATTCGAAACGGTCGATTGATTTCTTCGTACTAAACCAATATGCGAGCACTTGGGCCCAACACTAGGCTTTAATATGGCTTGAAGAAGAGCATGTGGTGCAATTTCAATAACTACAGAATTGTCGGGTACATGTTTCAACGCACTCTAGAACATTAAAAATATACAATATTTATTTGTTTGGATTCAATCGTTCGATTGTAGTTTCGGACTTACATTAAACAACACTGGAGATACCAGATTGTTTACATGGTAAGCTACAGATGAAAACTGAGCCAGTGGTTCGTTCCATCTGGATTCTGGGATGGATGTACTTATCCACTTCGATGATCTGGCTTTTGGAACTCCAATAATCTATAGCATACGATTAAAAAAATGTGTTTAATGTGTTATATTCATCAAGCAAAAAGAATAAGTCTTATACCCCTGTGACTTTTTCTTTAAATACTGGTCCTGCAGCAGCTATGTACCAAGAGTGGAACGCAACTCCAGAACTGTTGACTTCCCTTGCGAAGACACCTTCTGATTTAAGTTTATCTACGAACTTAGCAATTGAGTCTGGTGGTCCAGAAATGGTAACACCGTCTTCACTGTTGTGACAAGCCACAGCAATGTCGGACGGAACTCGTGCATTAGCTTCTTCCCACGATAAGCCTTAAAGCCAAAGAGAATCTCCATTAAGAATTTATAAAAATTAAACAGGTAATCAATAACATACCAACTGCTGCCATTGCACCGGGTGCTAAGTTCAAATCTAACAAGCTGCGTCCTCTCCAATAGGCCACAATAATGGTCTGCTCAGCTGTTAATGTGCCATCAGCGTAGGCACAAGCCAATTCCCCGACTGAGTGACCAACGATTCCATCAGGAGTAATACCAACAGTGTTGAGAACATCAACCAAAGCCATCTATAAGACAGTAATAGTTATTGAATTCCATTGGTATAATCTATATTTTATACATTTAATTGTGTATTGTAAAATCTATATTGAAAATCTAACCTGGATTGCTGCGATTCCGACAAAAGAATTTAACACGTTGTCGAAGACAGTTTTTTCGTTAGAGTTTAAAATAGCATAAAGGTCTAAACCAAGAGTTTTCAGCGTATTAGCTGATTTTTCAATTGACGCCTTGAACGGTGGTAATATTAAAAGATCACGGCCCATGCCAGTCCATTGACTTCCCATACCGGAGAATACATACCATACTTGACGTTTACCGGCTCCGAGGACCTGGAATGTAGTCGAAATTATAAGTTGTATAACGTAAAATCTAAATGAATTGTTTTGGTCATTATTTCTTACTACTGTATGAATTCACTTACAGCTATTTCACGATTGTTTTGTTCTCCAAGAATGCTATATCCTCTGTAATTGTGTCCTGGTATGTTTCTACTTTGAACATCATACAAAAGTCCATAGAATTCTGGGTTTCTGGGTAATGACTCGATCTACGATGACGGTTTATTAATTAACGCGAAAACTGAGTTATAAAAAAAAATATATATATTGAATCCTTACTCTGTCTAACATGTAATTAATCGCACTCTCAGTTCTCGCTGATCCGACTACCAATCTAGGGATGATATCTTGGGGCAGAGCATTTTCCTTTTCATATGCTTTAAGCAGTGCATGAGCGTTGACTCCTCCTATTCCTACAGCATTAACGGCAGCATATTGTCCATTCCACGGTAATGATTTATTGACTACTTCAAGCCGACCATCCTTCAGTGCTGGAACTTTGGGATTCGGGCTATTGTAGTTAAGGGTTGGTGGCAGTTTTTTACTATCCATGGCCAACACCGTTTTCAAAACACCACACAATCCAGACGCAGGTTCACTGTCCCCGATGTTAGACTTAACGGATCCAATCAACAAAGGTTTCGAACGGTTTTTGCAGTACACTTCGGTGATGGCATTGAGTTCTTGAGCATCGCTCAACTAAAATTTTGAACAAATTCAATAATATTATAGTGACTGTCAGTTAAATGTATTTTAACGGTGAACCATTAATTATTTCCAAGACCAATTACTAAGGCCCGGATTTCAATGCAAAGTGCATATTTTTTTGGTTGATCATACACATTGCTCTCTAAGAACATAATTCGTTTCATATAACGAGGGTTTCAAAACTACAAATTTTATTTTGCATTTTTTTGCATTTCGACGTTTTTTCATTTTTAGAGCATTTTTAGTATTATTGGGTAATTTTGTTAGTTTTTAATGCATATATGTTTGATGTACTAAACAAATTTAATCTACTCAAAATAAAATCAAAAGACAAATTATTTTCTTGATATTTAAATAGGTTTATCGGATTTTTCCATACACATTGTCAATCTTTATTTTTCGATTCAGTTTTTATCTTACTTTAATTTATTATTGACTATGGCAGCGGTTCCCAAACTTTTACAATCACGGAACCCTTAAACAGTTTGTGTTTCGTGGAACCCTAATGTTTTTAATTTCAATTCAACTCTAATTTTTTTAAAAAAACAAAAAAAAGGAAAAGGAAAACCAATACTCTAAAAATGTTTTTAATGATACTGTTAATATTGTTAGTGATTACTCTTTATTAAAATTAGTTTAAAATACAATTTTTTTAAATAATATGAAATAATATTTTTTCCAGATATAATATAAAATAAGTTTCTGAATAATCACATACATCTGGCGGAACTCTTAGCATTGTTCTACGGAACCCTAAGGTTCCGCGGAACACACTTTGGGAAACGCTGGACTATGAACGTCACCAGTATTCAGTGTTCTTATTACCTCGCAGACGTTGCTTGTATTACGTTCGAATGTGATTTTAATGTGTTAAATAATGCCCAAAATAAAAAAAAATATGTCAATTTTTCATTTTTAAGTTCATTTTTGTGGTAAAATTCATTTTTTAAGGACATTTTTGGCTATTTTTTAGAGCATATTTATGTGGGTTTTAGTGCCTTTAATTTCGGGCCCTACCAATTACTATGGGGATTGAATTCAAAGAATCGATTTAATCGTAATCGTAGTATGTAATTACTATCGTACGTATAACACATGTTTTATTAATTGTATAGTCATAGTGCAAAAAAAGTATAAACTAGGTATACTATGATTTCTCTAATTTTCAAAGCTCCAGAGCTAAACCATTATTAACCCATCGTTCTGTTATCATACACTCAAGACATCATATGTAATGAAAATACATATATTGATGGTACGCGTAAGTATAATGATTTACTTCCGTGATTATTATTTATTTTTTTATGCTGAACCTATTTTGGTACTTTTGTAATGTGTCGCAAAACATTTACTCTTCCCACTTTCATTATTACACTCGGATGATCTCCCTGAAATAGTGTACGGATATTGTTACACTACATTCGTCAGTATTTTTAACAAATGATCGACCGTCCAATCTGATGAATATCACATTTAGAATATCGCGATTTCGTACAATACAACCGCGATGTTGTGCGAAAATATTTTCCGAAATATACGGATATAATTTATAAGAAAATATTTTTGCGGAACAACGCGGAGAACACACATACGAGCAACAAAAAAAAAAAAAGCAAATCGTTCACCTGTTCGCCGCAAGCACTGCTCTCGATGTAGTCCACGTCGGCGGCGCTAACGTTGGCGTTGTCCAATACCTCCTTGAACAACTCGATCTGTTGCCCGTTGGTGGGATAGGTGGCCCCTTCTAGCCGGAACCCTTCAGTGTTCGCGGCCACGTTCACCGCGGTGGCGTACACCCGCTTGGCGTCTTTGGCGCGCTGCATGTACACGACGACGACGGCATCGCTGCGGACACACCCTTGGCCTGAAATAGTCGCGATCCGGTTCGATAAGATACGTCCCGGACGACGCGTGACGCGAGGATGCAGGGCTCGGGACGAACAAAAAGGTGTACGTTTCGCATCGCACCTACATCGAACGTGACACCGTTCGTGCCAGAGTGGTGATCAGGGACATATTCGCCATTAGGCTAATGGGCCTCGGATATATATGAACATTTTTTTATACATATATTTATATATGTAATACAACTTCTATTGTATGAGATTAATAGAAGCAAAATTTAATATATAATAAAATTAAAATTAAAACTGATTAAACCGTCGATTACTCGTCATTTAATATATAAATAAATTAATAAATAGTTTATAAATATAAATAAATAAATACTTAACCCGGAGTGTCATTGTATTAGTAAAGTACGACAGGGTTCGAATTATGAATCAATAGTCAGGTATATTAAGTCAATAAAATCAAGGTTGAAACCGGTTGCACTTTACAAATATAATAATACTCCAGACTATTTCTATATACAAGCTATAAAAAAAAAAAAATAAAATTAATGATCTATCAGCGAAAAAGCCACCATTTTTATTTTTCCTAAGGACCAAAAAATGTCTAAATCAGGTCCTGACGATTTTCCGAAGGACCTTACGGGATAAAATACGAAGTTCACCGTACCGGAAGCGTCGAACGGTTTGCTCTTGGCCTCCAGCGAGACGGTGTTCATTTTCTGTAACATGACCGACAGCACTGGGTTGAGCAGCAGCGAACATCCAATGACCACAGCACCGTCCACGGTCCCTTGTTTGAGCATCCGGTACGCGTGCTCGAAAGCTAGCAGACTGCCGGAAGATCCCGAATCGATGGCGTAGCTGGGCCCTGGGGACAGAATGCTGCGACGTTACATAATGCCCGCATGAAACCGTGGTGCGCAACCCTTTCGATGACGACCGTTTCAAACGGACGGAACGCGTACCGTTCAAGTCGGAAGGTACTCGATAAATTTACGACTGTATTGCATTTGCTTGTTTTTTTTTACGCGTATAAGATAATACATTCGGCTAAAACTTTTCCCGTTATTTACGAATGAAATACGATATTTTATTTTCATGTTTAAGTTAATTTAAAGGGTTAGGTCATACGAATGTAATATTTTATGAATTAATCGGATTGACGTCTTTTCTTAATATTTTTTTGGTTATAATAATGTTTGAGTTTATTTCCGATAATCTGCTCTTGTCACCTATTGGTATTACGTTACTTCGTCTAAAATACGACGGACGATTTTTTTTTATAAAATTCTGTGTGAAAAAAACTATTTTTCTATCGGAGTATTTTATTGTGATATTATTTTATTCAAAACAATACACAACTAGTCCAGTTGCGGATGAGTTGGACATTTAAATTTAAGTTTCTTTTTTTTAATTTTTTTTTTTTTTTTTTTTTGATTAAAATTAAAATTTAAAATTTTTTTCTTCCATATTAATATTAATAAGAGCCTATTTTGGAAGTTTTTAGATTGCATGCTGATTTTTTTCGCAAGTTTCACATTAGATCCACAGTCCTGGTCAAACAATTGTTTACCGTCCACGTATCACGGTATAACAACGGCATAATATAACTATCATATACCATCATACCTTTCAGATCGAACGAAAAGGAAACACGATTGGGAAACATGGTCCTGGTGTTGCCCAAAAATTCATAACCATTCGTACGATCGGGATCTGCGGACCACCAATCGGCGCAGTCGTTGTTCGTCGTTCCCACGACCACCGCGGTATTCGATCCCCTCAACGACGTCGGGTTCACTCCTGCAACGAACGCGTATATTGATAATTATATAATACGGTGCAAAGTTATCGCTAAGGATCAATATGTAATCGTCACGAGCGAACGACATTTATTATTCAACGGAACGTACCGGCGTCTACAAACGCTTCGTATGTGCTTTCCAACATGATACGAATCTGTGGGTCCAATCTTTCGGCCAATTTCGGATGTACGTTGAAAAAAGTTGAGTCGAACTTCCATAAACCACCGACGGTCCCAATTTTTGTAACGGCCTCTCCACAGATGCCTATAGGTACAAATCACGATATAATATAGGTAGTTATTTTTTTTCGTCTAAGAAATCCAAAAATCATTTTTTTAATCGATTATTTTGTATTATAAGTCGCGATATTCTTCAAACTAACAATTTTTATTGTTTGCAAAACATAAGTATTTTAAACTTTATGTTAAAGTTTTTGGCGGTTACATTTTCGAATAAATAGTCCTATTTAGTGAAAATGTTTGGTTATTTATATGAGAAAGTAATAATATGATCGCACATTTTGAGTAAAGTAAAATATAAAATAAATTATTTTTAAGTGAAAAAAAAAAAAGAAAACAAATTTTATTGCATTTGTACGTTATACGTTTTATTTTATTTCTTGTCGTGAAACCGTAGCTTAATAAAAATGAAATCAACTTACCTTCTGGCCATCTGCTTTCTCCCTCGGCAAGAATGTCCGTGCCCTTGAACAATTTATCTTTAAACTCTTCGAACGTTTCACAATGCGGTAAACGGCCGGACAGACCGGAGATCACGATATCGTCATCTTTGCAGCATTTCAGACTGCCAGCGGCTTCAACGTTCGGTGCCATGTTTTCGATGCGCCGAAAAAATATCAAACTCAAAACGATTCGAACGTTTCGATTGAGAAAAAAAAAATCGCGGAGCTTATAGTGATGGATCAGATATGTACAACGACACACTGCAAACCCCTATAAATCAAAATGACGAAGGTCGGTCAGTGTATTTAAATACTGGGCGAGTGACGGATGACACCGTTATTCAATAGGTTCCTTTTCTTTTTTTTTTTCGTTCAGCTGTCATCATTTATTTTTTCTACACATATAACTTTATGAGTTTTAATTACTTAATTGATAAACACCGATAAACTCAAAATGGTCATAATCAATGTTACGTATTAACAGACTGTAGACAATATTATTTTACTTCGATTCTCTTATGCGTGTAATGTCGTAAAAAAAAAAAAAATCCGCATAACTATTCATAATGAACGGGATAAACGTAATAAAATACTCGTTGATAGTGTAATTTCACAGCTTTATATTTAGAGGTTATTTGATGAGATTGAATTTCACAAGTATCTTGAGTAAAAAAATGATATATTTGGTACCAATTAAGAATATTGTTTGAACACAAATAGTATAATAAATAATATATATTTAATTTATATATAAAATATAATAATATAATTGAATACAAAACTCAATAAATACGGAGTTGGAAAAAATCCATATGGTTTTACGATTCCCTACAAAATATAAACACCAATACGCAAAAGTGTGTATTGTTTAATTTTTTTTTTTTTTTTTAGTAAAAACTAGATTATTTGATCTTGTCATGTTATAGTTTTAACCATAAAAGGTTATAATCGTATATTTTTTTACTGTATATTTATTGGTAGAACACACCAAAATAAAATAACATAGGGCTAAATATTAGACTAGTTACGTAACTTAACACTATACATTTATCCATTTAACGTACATATAATTTTTCAAGATTTCAATTGTAAAAAAAATTGGTGTTTATTTCATAATCAAAAACCTACTGGTAACAATTATCATACTAAAACAACCTATCTGATAGTATAATCGTAACAAGCATATTTAGCCCTCGTATAAAATTGACAAATACATTTTAACAAATGTTAAAAATTAATTCAAATAATGTTATCTGGAAAATTGATAATCAAGTGTTCAAATATAATTAAATTAAATTGAACAACATTTAACGTAGCATTGGAGTGTTGCCATTTTAATAGATTTAACGTTACATTTTAATAAAATCGGAGTATGATCTTTTAAAAAAAAATCTGAACTCTAAACTATGCCAACTTGAAAATATAAAAAAATTGGTTTCACTTTTCAATTTTTTTGAATATTCTAGATAGTTTCATCTTCAGATTAATGACCACAGCGGTCATATATCGTGGCCTACTATGTTTGATACTATTATTCTTGAAGTTTTTCGATTGTCTATTTGACTTTTTTACCGTGTTTTTACGTGTTGAAGTTTTTGCTGTTTATTGTTTATTTAATGTATCAATAGACTTTCGTTTTCTGCCACGAGTATTAAGGAGAATCTCATACTGCACCATCTTCTACATATCCTCTCACAAATATGTACAATATTGAAAATCCCGGCCTCCCATATTTCCTATTACAATATCGAAAGTAGTGTACCTGCTAGTCCAAACTACGAGTACATAAAATCGTTATTTATGTATCAATTATTACATTTAAATGTGATAAATAACAATACCAAACGATAATCAATGAAAAAGAAAATATATTTAGAAATTGTATTTATAAATTGCATGCTGTGTACCCCCAAGTTTATTTATCAAGCACTTATGTGTACAACTTAAAATTTATTTTTAATTTTTCTAATTTTTTTTTTTTTTTTAAAAAAATGGATGAATAGAAACTGATAAGTTTCTAGATTGAAATATTTTTATATCCGAGATAATATTTTACCAAATTGGAGAAGGTGATAATGTGAATATTAAATATAAAATTAAACGAAGGATGTAGTTTAGGGTAATCAAAAGAATGTATTTTAAAATTTTATATGGCATTTCAAATAAATAATAACATACAATTTGGTGGAGTTTCTTTGTCAATATACAATAATAAAAATAATAAAGATGGTAGTTTAATAGTTTATAATAATAAAATAGCAGTTAATATTAATAAATAATAAATAAATCAAAAAATCAGTAAGGCTATGTAAGCCAACTTTTCTACATATTTAATTCTACTTATTTCATTATTTTTAATATATATATATATATATATATATATATTATTTCGAATATAAAAAATATTTCAATCTAAAAACTAATCAGTTGTAAAAACCATAAAATAAAGAGTTTAAGTCAAAATATAGTTAAGTTGTGCACATAAGTGCATGATAAATATACATGTGGGTATACGATATACTTATGCGGTGTTTCCGAATTGCGTGCGAATATTATTATTTAGGATGAATTGCGTGCGCAATTTTCTCGCGACACAATCGAATTGCGTGTCGCGGTTTTTTTTTTAAATTTATCAATTTTTAATGCATATTTTTGATATAAGTTTATATTTTTAATTATTCTTATTTAAATAGAAAATTGTTAAAAACCTTAATAGACGTAAGTTTTTCCTTAGGCCAAGTGATTGGATTTTTCTCCACTTAGTCTGGCCCAAGTGAAAGCGACAGCCTTTACGAATTACTTTGGGAAAAATCTCTGAAATTGCCAAGTGAATGGCTTGTTCGAAATCAGCGTAAATTATACGTGGTGTAAACGGTCGTCTATTCAAACTTGTACGCGTGCAATTCGAATGTGCCACGAAAAATACGTGCACGCAATTCGGTTGTCAACCAACATCGCTTTTTTGTTTTGGCACGCAATTGGGATGCAGCCTACTTATGACGTGGCATACAATTCGGACAGGCTTTTTTATGACTTGGAATGCAAATCAGGCAGACCCCTCTAAGAGGTGGCATGCAATTCTGACAAATCCCTCTAAGAGATGGCATACAATTCGGATTTTTTGTTTATTTTTTTTTTTTTTGACATGCAATTCGGATGCAGACGAATATTATTTATGTTTTCAATGTGAACGAATAATTATTTATGCGATCGGAAAAAAAATCATTATTTCAAAATCTACAAAATATGGACTTAATGGTTTTTTTAATAATTGTTTTTCCATCAATTTTTTCTTATTCATCGTTTTTGATTTAGGAAGGCCTCGGGCTTCGAACTATATATTATAAGGCCTCAAAAGGTCAAATTCTCAAAAACGTTTAATAATTAGGGTTTTGATTAGGGTCTTAATTCGCACACGGGCCCCGAGTGGTCTAGTTACGGACTAGGCACTGTATAACATCTCTTGAATATTTCAATATAAAGTATAATATACTATATTATAGGACCACCAAAATTAAAAACATTATTTCTTTTTTTACCCATTTTTGCTAAACGTATAATATTAGATTAACGTATTCTGCATTCTGGTAGCAAAGACACTATTATAACAATATTATAGTTATTGAACTATTTATAGTATGCCATTGTTACATTTTTGTTGAGTTCAAAAGTATTAATACTCTACGATGCCGTACAACATTTTCATTGTTATACATTATATCAATTTATTTAATCACAAAAAATATATTATCGTTTGGGTGTTTTTTTTCTTTTCTTACACAATAATCTCGAAAAAGTACACGAGTAATTTAGGAACAAAGCTAAAAAAAAACAAAGTATATTATATTATCGTGATCGGTCGATCATTGCAGGAGCGTTTTTTTGTTCACGACTCGTGTGTATTACAACAATAAAAATGTAGTATTGTACCCAATGAACCACGACTACTGCAACCTGCATAATCCATTGCAGCGATCGTCGCCGTCGTTGGCCGCACCACGACCCCGATCATGACCGACTCCGCGTTCCCGGTCCCTACCGCCATGGCGGCCAAGGGCGATCAACCGGTCGCGTACCTCGTCCGCGTCCCTCAGCTTGTTCTCCAGCTCGTAAATGTCGGCCAGCAGCGCTATCACTGTGGGCAGCGGACGCGTATTCGGGTCGGCGTCGGTCGCCATCGCCGTTTTAACGCTGGTCGTGGTCAGGACGATGCTTCTCGACAACGCGTTGTAACGCTTTTCCGCGTCCTTCCGATCGGGAGACGGCACGCGACTGCGGGCCAGAGCAACGGCCGATTTCCGGACGGAAACGTGCATCCTGCCCAGTGCCCGGTAACCGGTTTTCAACGCTTTCTTCCTCGACCATCCATCGCGACCGCAAACCGTACTGTTCGCTCCCCCCGACCTCCTTCGATCCGTTTCGAGGAACGCCACCTCGTCCGAAGGCACCTCGTCCTTTTCGTCGGCTTGCGATTTCGTATCAGGTCCGTCGTTCTCCATGGCGATTAGGCGTTGCGCGTTGCGCGTTACACGGTATTGATTTTTCTCTCCTTTCCGAATCCCTGGATACCGTCGACTGTTTGAAAAGACATGACCCATCGGAAGAATATACGGTTCCACAAAAACTTGACGACCAGGACTGTACAGAATTCTTTTAGAAAGTAATCGAGTAATAAAAAAAAAAAATATATACATTTTGAAACGTTATTGATGTTTTTATTTTCAATCGCGTATTCATCCAATTCACACTAAATACTCAAATACTCGTAATTAAGAGAGTTAATCTTATAATAACCGTAAATGATTTTTTGAAAAAAAAAAACTATAGTACGCCGAATATATTTTATAATGATTCGCAATAAAAAAGATTTAAACTCGGGAAAACAATCGAACGAGATTTTTGTTCGACAGATTAAAAACACTTTCAGAACTCATCGCTTTGCTTTAACGTATTTTTAACTGTTTGAGCTTGCATTAGTTACAAGGGTTGGATTCCGTCATATTAGAAACATGGATTATAACGATACGGTTACTTAACACGACATTTCTGATAGTATGACTAAAATCATTAGACTCTGTAATGCGTCTATTCTGTTCAAGATGCTAGATAGACTAACATTTATCGTATCATTTTTACAGAACTATTTTATTCATGGTTAACGAATTCATTGGAGTTTCACAATTTTAACAGATTAAACTGAAAATTGTAGTAAAATTGGTGATGACCTCATTAAGAAAATCTCGAATACAAAATATGTATACTCGAAAATATAATACTAAAATTGTAACTACAGTGACTATGTTTTCTAATTGTAGATTATATTTTACTAGGTATATTAAACAATTGATACGTGTACGTGAATGTGTATGTGTTTAAATTCTTATTGTTGGTTCTCATGTTTAATTAAATAACTGTACCGCATTGAAAATATTTAGTGTTATACCTTAATAATATGCTAATTATGTAACAAGCGCATCATGTTGAAATAATTGCGATTGTAATTATTAAATCAACGAAAAAAATATACAAGTGTATATTATGCGAGAATTGAAATACTATGTTGAAACCGAAAACTCTTGTCGTAATTAATTATATACAGATAAATTAAACGTGTATGTGATTACGTGTGTTTATTAAACGGCAGATAAATTTCATTTTAATATCTCATATCACCTTAACTTTTTAGAATACCTCATAGATGCACACACGGGTCTATACACTTATTATTTACATGTCGATAATATTCACGTTTTTCATATAGCTAATTAAATCACATTGAAATTACGGGCCATCGCGTAACGTCATCATTTTAAACATATAAATGTACCTGCAATAAAATATTGACCGGAATTTAATCTGAATATGACATGGAATTTATTAATAATGTAGTCGAATAGGTGTAAACATGTAGACATATGTTAGAATAGTGTTAATAAATAGGAATTTCGATATTTTTTTTATATAACTCAGGAAATGTACATACATTTTACCCCGTCTAAAATCATAAAAAAATATATGTTATAATATAATCATTTAATATTTTTATCTTGGTTTACTTTATTCCAATGATTTACTTGATATGTACAGTACCTATTGATTTTTAATGTAATCAACCAATTGTAATTCGAACAATACTTTTCTAATAACGCGCCCACGTTTTTTGGAATCAAACATTAGACTAACATTTTATTAATAAATTATTGCGAAGTATTTAAAATGGATTCACAATCGCCTTTTCAAAAATTAAAATTCCTATCTAATAAACTACATTTATATTAAATATTATGAATATCGTAACCTAAGGATACAAGAAAAAAAAACTATATAGGTTTTAGACCTACATGGAAATTTATTTCGCAATTACATTTCCCATTGTAAAATGTACATTATAATTATTTCGACAAATATTTGAGGCATCAAATCAGTATAGTAATATGCAAATGTAAATTGATTAATTTTGCATGAGGATCATTAGAAATTACTCAAACCGTAATAACTTAAAAGATAATTTCATCATACATTGTTTAAATGTGTAAAAGTCGGTTACAGCGGTAGTTGAAACAAAGAGTAAATATTGTTTCCATATTGTGATGAACGATAATTATCAAAGTATTGATAACGTTTTTATTTGACATTCAATAAACAGTTATACAATTGAAATACCAGTCAATGGCAGCCCCGTCTATTAACTGGTTCTATAGAATAGAATATACCCCATAGATTTGCAAAAATTAATTTGGACCAGTAAAACAATGGGATAAAAATATTAAAAACAACATTTAACCATGTTTTAAATTTCGAATATATTTGTACATAGATAAATGATTTGTGGACAAATGATAACATATTATAATATGAGAAACTGCAAAGTTTTATGAATGTCAATAAAAACGACTTTTATTATGACATTAACAATATTTTTATCTGACCTTAAGAGTAAATCATTATGTTACTACATTTGAACGTTGTTATAAAAAATTTACTTTACATAACACTAATTTTTTTTTTTTTTTTACTTGAATATAATGTTTATAAGATATCTAATCAAATAAATTTTACAAAAAATCCTGACTAATTAATTAAGAATTTGATTAAATCGAATATAAAATAAGAAAAATAAATTAAAAATGTTATATTCCTAATTCTTACAGAAGTATATATAAATTAATAATTCATATTATATTCAAATCAAAGTCCAATATAGTAATATATTTTGTGCTACGAAACTATTACATTCCGCTTTTAGTTTCGCTTTCGACAAATAATTTTAATGCATAGATATGTCTGTCTTTTTTTTTTTTTTTTTATTGTTAAGTAAAGATCGGGGCAGCTCTGGCCATTGACCTGACATTTACTTATATTTTTACAGAACGAAAAAAAAAAAAAGAGAAAATATGTGTCTGCTTATGATAATCAAATGAAAAATAACAATAATATTTTGCAAAAAGTTGTTTAAATCTGAATAAATAAAAGATTATTATGGCAAATTTAAATAAAAATAAGATTGCTGTGTATTTTTTTTGAAAATATTTATTTATCATTTTTAAATCATTTTTTCAATAGTAAACTGTTTTAAAATATATTTATCAAACAATAAGTACTTTGTTCAATATTTTACAAGCACTATGGCGCAATGTCCTAAATAGCCCAGGACCACATAAAAATGAAATGATATAACAAATAACAAAATCAATAGTCATATTTTAGATATACAAGTATTAGTAGTCAAATAATAACCATGACGGTTTACGTAATTTTTATTAACACTTTGACTGCTGATGTCGACGCGTCGTCGACAAATCGTAATTGTTCTATGCGGCAGGCGTCGACGCATCGTCGACAACCTGTTTATAGCTTAATGTATAACAACATACAAGTATATAAAAAAAATTTAAAAATTAAAGTTCTTCTAAAAAAATCAAGGAAATACATTATATTTCTGAGCACATAGAATTTACCGTCCACTTTATTTAATTAAAAACAAATGTATACTATTGTTAACAAAAATTGAAATTATAAATGAATTCGAAATATATACAATAATGCAGCGAAAAAACTTATACATATTATAACTTATAGAAAATAAATTTTTTAAGCTTGACCGGTAGCTACGGTCGCTCATTAGAAACTATGTTACCACCACTTTGGAATCCCTGCAATTTATTAACGGTTAAAACTCTAATTTCTCCTATACCCAACATCAAATCGTAATTCCTCTCGAGTGTCTGTTTGATTTCAGCTCCCATCAAGGAGTCCATACCCAAATCAGCGAAGGTTGCCGATGGATTTATGTTATTGGTATCCTTGATACCAAGGATATTGGCAACAGCCTCAATTAGGCTCACTTGAGTAGCACCACCTGAAACATTCTCTCTCTTTTCAGCTAACACCATTGAAGCCAAAACTGGTTGTGAGTGTTGCAAAAATATATCAAATGAACTCAAACATGATGTCATACGCTGAGGCAATGTACCACCAACAACTGTTTCATTTCCACCCATTGTTTCCATAATAAGACCAACATCTCCAATTGCTCCCCATTGTATAGCCAACTAACAACAATTAGAAAATCATTAGTTTCAGATTAAAATTGCATTATAAGATATGTTATCTATTTAAAAATGGCTTACTCCTGGCAGTCCAGCATCTTGTCTAGCTTCACAAATCCTTTCCATAACGGAATTGGCAAAACCATAATTGGTTTGTCCAGCATTACCACGTCCACATGATACAGATGAAAATACAACAAAATGATCAAGTTCAGGGCAAGATTTTCTGGTAACAATATCCAAATTTTTAGTTCCGGTGACTTTAGGTGTGCTAACAATTTCGAAATCTTGTGGAGTTTGATTTTCTAAAAATGCATCCCTTAACACCTATAAATAAAATGTAAAAGTAATTAGTACCTTTTTTATTAAAAACCCGATTTTAATGATTGAAATCAAAAAGTATTTCAATTTCAAACATAATAAAACAAGTATCATATCAAATAAATATGAAAATATTTTAATCTATTTATATGCATCAATATATTAGTTAAATAAATAAATATATTTTAGTGAATATAATTATTTATATGTCATAGTTATATTAATCTCGTAATGTATTAACTGCTTTAATTTAAAATGATCTGAAAATAAAAAATGATTTGTGATCTGCCTATTAAAAACGTCTGATAAAAAAAAAGATATTACTTACAGCAGCCAAGTTAAAGACTCCACCAACGGGGCCTAATTTGTTACTGTCGTTGATTAATTGTTGAGCTCCATTTAAAGTTGAACAATCAGATTTAGAGATCAGTACATTGATACCAGCCGATTTCCAGTTACTAACGCGTGAAGCTTGATAACCGGTAGTAATACCACTTCGAGCAGTCAGCACAAGGTTCTTGGCACCCCTGGTAACCAACCAGTTGGCCAGTTCTAAGCCAAATCCTCCAAGACCTCCGACAAGAACATAAGACTTCTCTGGAACCATGTACGATCGTGGAACGGAAGTGAAGAGTTTTTTGATAGGCATAACCACTTCCGTCGCCTCTTCGTCTCTAATTTTCAGTATTACTTTTCCAATATGTTTACCGGATCCCATAAATCTGAACGCCTGTTCTACTTGTGATTCAGAGAATACTGTAGCTGGAAGAGGTCTCACAGAGCCATTCTTTATACCTTCATTAATCAACTTAACAACCTCTAACTTTTCACTGTTCGCAGATTTAATATCGAACAACGAATCCAAAAGAATTCCATGGAAAGTAGTATTTTTTAGGAAAACAGACATTCCTAGTGAGTTATTGTTGGACAGATCCAGTTTACCGATTTCAAGAAAACGACCGTCTTTAGCTAAACAACGAACAGATGCTTGAAGTTTATCTTCGGCCAGTGAATTCAAAACTAAATCAACACCACGTCCTTTGGTTTCTCTTAATACGTGACGTTCAAAGCTGGTGTTCCGAGAGTTTGAAATATTTTTATCAGATAACTAAGTATAAACGAGGTTAATATATTGAACAATTTTGTACGTATACTAATAAAACAATGTGTTTACCTCGGGGAAAGTCTTTTTTAAGAATTCTCTCTTTTCTTTGCTGCCAACGGTTGTGTACACTGTGACACCCATATGAAGAGCAATGGCGATGGCTGCTTGGCCGACTCCTCCTGTACCGGCGTGAACTAATAATGAATCACCTGGCTTCATATGTCCTCTAACGCACAGTGCATAATACGCCTAAAAAAAAATTATCAAATGTTTAAATTAGTATTCGTCAGAATACTAACGTACAACGTAACAGCTTACCGTTCCGTAAACAACGGGAATTGTCGAAGCCTGTTCCAGTGTCCATTTGCTCGGAACTTCCCACAAGAAAAGTGGATCCGCATTAACACTCGAAGCTAATCCTCTCGCAGCTAGCATACCCATGACCCTTTTACCTTGAGAATTACGACCAGAGAATTCTAATCCAAGAATACAGTCCTAAAAAAAATATAATATTTAATATAATAGTTGATAATCATATGGTATTCAAAAAGCCTACTTCTTCTGCCAAATCACCAGGCAATGCATCAGGAGGAAGTTTTCCTGAAGCTAACATAATGTCACGGAAGTTGAGTGGTGAATAGTATACAGTACAAAATTCAGTACTAGGATTAAACTCGGGTCTGAAATTAAGCAATAATAAAATACAATCTATTAATTTATAATTTTAATAAATATACATTTAAAATGTTACGAAAGATTTTTCTTTTTTTTTATAATTAATTTATATTCACCGTAATTAGTAATATAAATTGTTATATGCTAATCGATTAATTATGACCTATGGTTCTGTAATACATATCATGTGTGTGAAACATTGTGAAATAATATGAATAATAATAATAACAATTTATTTATTTTTTAATCAAAAAACCTCACTTGTAATTTTTCAATGGACCTTCAATCCATTTCAAACTACTCAAATCTCCACGAATCAGAGCATTGATATATGCATGCTCCACTTGTAATGTTGGTTTATCCTGTTGGTTTTCTAATTTCAAATGCCTCATTGAACCCCACACTCCATTAGGCTTCAATATGTTGCTTAGTAAATCCTTTTTCAATTGATTTGCGTAAAGTGGAGCGGTTAATGAGAACTTTGGTGCTGTGGGGTCTTGAATGAACACTGATCTGACATTGTTACCACCGGGTTCTTGTTTGACACAGTTAACTAATCCAATTATTCCGTTAGTACTTTCTCCTTGAGCGTATAGGACTATGTTCTTGCTTGGATCAGTTTCAACAGTCTTAAGAGCTGATTTTAATGTCTCAACCCATTCATATGATTTTTCTGATACTTGAATTACTTCAGAAACGGGTAATTTTTCACTTAGCTAAGTAACAAATACATATTTAAATAAAATATATTAAACAATATAGTTTAGCAGGAAAATATCTCCATACCTTTCTTAGTAAGTAGAATATTCTATCATCAGCTGATGATTTGCTAATTAAAACAAGATTATTTTTCTCAATAGCGCTTTCAGGCACATTAATGGATTCAGATGTCAGTATAAAACCACCATCTTTCACGGTTTCTGCCAAATTATTCAGTAGATTTTCTGATTTTAAAATATCAAAAGCTATTGCAACATGTGCGTTGGATTCAATTGGACCATTTTCTAATGATTTATTAACCATTTTTATTTCCATTGGTCCCAAAAATGGAGCCAAAGCTTGTATTTGAGTTGTAGCCAACATTGCGTCCAACTAAAATCATACATGCATTATATACTGAGTGTTTATCTAATATTTTTTACTTATATACATACAGATATTAAAGGTTCAGATTCCAATATGTTAACCACAGTAGGCATATATATTCCTTCAAATGGTTTGTCACCTCCAAACTCAACTACTTTCACTTTCATTGCACCCGCACTATTTTCCAAAGCCACTTGTAGATAAGCAGCAAAAACATTGGTTACATCTGTTACTGATGAAATCTATAGAAATAAGACATTTATAATTTCAGTATTAATGTTTATTTATTTATGTTATAATTATATTAAATAATATCGTTGGTTTAACTCAACTTCAATTAATAGCTAAATTAATTTAATTACAAAAAAAAAATTCATCAGGTGCTGATAAGATATGAAAAGATAACAGATATTAACATTAATGGTAATGAAAAAGTAGAAAAATCTTATTTAAGAATATTTTCCTTGGACTCTAATTAAAGTAGAAAAATATACATTTCTTTATTGGGATTGTTTTTAAGCACTCAAATATCAAATTTATTATTAATTTATTATTTATTATGGTTTGTTTTTTATTAATTTTTCATACAAATCACATATAATAAATATAATTTAAAAAAAGTATTATTTTTAATGTTCAATAACAGTATGAAAACTAAAAATAATTACTACAGCTGAAAGTATAACCATAAAATTATACAGGCAATAAATATTTACAGTTGATACAAAACATTAAAATCAATATACAATATTATTTAACTATATTAAAATAAATACAAACAAAACTATACAATGGACAGGTTAATCAAAATACCTAATGAATCTTAATAAAATAGTTATCTTAAAATTTTAATCAGCTTTTGAAGTTCTTCTCATATTTTATAATATCATAGATTAAGGAATAATTTTAATAATAATTAATAATAATAATTGTATTCCATAACCAACGATAATATGTACCTATTTTTTTTATATAAATTTACAGACAATGTCTACGACAGTGCTAATGTAATTGTTATATTAATATATAATAAAATAATATTATATAAATTATATTCATGGGTGGCATGGCTATTTTTACTCAATAGTTTTAAGACGGTTTAATACTTTTCCCACGATCGGCGGAACCTCTATAATTAATTAATGCCATGATAAATAGATATACTCTTATTTGAAAATTCTGTGAAATATTTATTTTTATATTTTTCTAAATTCCATAAACTTTTTATGTAATATGGTAGTTTACAAAATTATTTTTATGGTCTTGAATATCAAAATTAACTAAATTGCGATAAATGAAAAAACAATACGTCAATTTAAAGTTAATCAGTAAGGAAATAATTTAAGTTAATAAGTTACATTAACTTATCTATTAACTTATTAACTCGTTCATGGCCAGGCTTGTTAATTTTATACTTTTATTACGAAGCAACTTAATTAATATTTTTTTTTTAATGCGAGGGTCTTACCTCTTGATCAGTGTATGATACAAATATGTATTTTTCCAACTTTGGAGACGCTTGTGATTGTTGCCTCCTTGGGGCTAAACTTGTTTTCAAACCACAAAGTTCAACGCCACCGGATTTAATAACATTAAGATCTCTGTACATGTACACAGGAACAGCTGTAATGTATGAATCATATTTGAATTACTTACAATGCATGAAAATTAATTTTGTAATATTTAGAAAATCTTACGGCTATTTTCAGGTAAAGTTTGTATGTGTTGTAAATGCTTAGCTGGATCGATAATGATTTTTTGTATTCTTGTTGGTAAATATAATCTTTTTAATTTCAAACCCAATATTGAGAACTGAAGCATTGTATCTATAAAACTGATCCAGTTTCCAATCCATTCCAATCTCCCACTAATACCTATATAGTTACGTTTAACCGGTGAATATTTTTTTTTACTGAAATGAGTAGTTTACACACAAATCTAAAAATAATTATTTTGTCACCTTTACTGTCAGATTCTTTAACTCCTCTAAAGACTCCTTTGTAATCATATCCACGCAAGCCCAAATCTTTGTAGATGTCTTCAGATTTAAGATATAATGTATTGTTATCAATATTAACCACAGGTAGCTCAGCATCTAGTTGTTCGGAATCAGTATCATTCAGAACTGATATGTGTCCAGTTACTACAACGGAGCCTCCTTCGTTGATTTCAAAATTGCCACTTCCCTCGAAAATGTTTATTGAGAAGTTCACATCTCCTACAATATAGGAGATAATATTTATTATATTAAGTATAATTGTTGACATTCTGGAAGAATATTGTACACAATGAATATATGTATTACAATTTATGTTATTAAGAATATATTTAAATTCCGGTAAATTTTCCATTTATACAAATAAAATCACCTTCTTTAGGCATAATTGTTGCTCTTAAAAGTTTTACGTTTTCAATAACAACGGGGATGTCTTCAATGTTTTTGTTTTGTATTTTTGCGAATGTTCTCCAAACAAGTGTCTAAACAATTCGATATCATATTTATTGTTTCTAAAGCAAATAGTAAGAATTTATATAATCATACCAAGTATCCTGTAGCAGGGAATAATACTCTGCCGTCGATGGTGTGTCCAGTCAAGTACTGATCTTCTTCAATACCTAGATTCACTTTGATGACCGATTCACCAGATCCAGCTTCCTGTAATTCATTATAATAATTTTTTTTTTCAAACTCAATAATAATACATATTTAACAAATTGAAAATATGTTTGTGAAAATTATAAATTTATAAGTACTTTAGAAGTAAAGTTGGCCACTGCCCATTGCACAGAATGGTCCCATTCGACCAACGATTGGATCATAGGTGTTCCACGAGCTACAGGATATGACACAGTTGGATATAAGTTTTTAATTTTTGGTTGAAGTCCTGCATTATATAATCTATAATAAATGAAAATTTATTGTAACATTTTTAAAATATTTAAGAAAAATAAAATTGAATTATGATTTATTACTAAAAAAAAACAAATTCTACGTTTAGATAACTCAATCCAAATATACATGGGTTATTATCAGTCAGTGAATTCCGCAATCAAGAGATTCATGTTACGGTTTAAAAATATAACATGTTATTCGGATAACAATGTTAATATAATGTGCAGGTAGAACTTTTTAGAACTTAAATTTTTTTTATGTAATCTAAATTGGTAAATTCAAACCCACTTTCCAATGGCCGAAAGCAAAATAGAAATATTTCCTTCGGGGTTCATTGAACGTTTAGTAAGACCAACACATACATTTTCTGGTCCAAGTGATCTCTTTAAAATAGCTTGAAGTAATGCATGAGGTGCAATTTCAATAACAATAGCGTCTTTGGGTATGTGAGCGAGAGCTTCCTAGATGAAACAAAATATAGAAATTTAACTTCATCAAAATCATTTAATATTTAATAATACGAATATCTTACATGGAACAAAACTGGCGATAATAAGTTGTTTACATGGTAATCGATAGAACTCATCTGAGCAAGTGGAGTGTTCCAGAATTCTTCGGGAATGGAAGAACTGATCCAACGAGAGGAACGTGGTTTTGGGGTTATTAGTATCTATAAAAATTATAAGTAATTAAGAAAAATTAACGGTATTTGTAATTATTTAATTCTTATTTTAGTAATAAAAAAAAAAAAATTGTGTTAAAATAAACTATACTTATTAACTTTAAAAAGAAAAGAATATCTTAGTAAAATACCAATACTGACATACCTACAACAATTAATAACGATCCAAGTAAGTGACTGATTTGCAGGGTCGTATTGGCTTATACTTTAGACTAGGTATTACCACTTAGGCCGTTTTTGTATGAGACCCCATCACTTCTTATTTGTCACTATAATATTGTTTGACTCGTAAGAGTCAAGATTATGAACTAAGATATCACGTAGGTTATAGGTAGATTTGTTATTTTGTTATTATAATTTATTGTTGACAGTTGTTATATCATGCTACTACTTAGTAAGTATTATGCTTACTTACGCCAAACATTTTATTAATATAATTAAATTTATCTGTATACAACATTATAGAGGTGGCTACAGGAACTTACTTTGGGGGGGGGGGCACTCCTTAATATGGTTGTTAAATTATTAATTAAGACGAAGTAGAATTTTATTTTATATGAAAAATGTCAGATCTAGGGAAAGCAACTTTCCTATTTTTCCTATCCCTCCCCCCTTAAAAGCAACCCCTTCAACAATGATCATATTATTATGCATATATAATTTATGATATAAAACACATAATCATCTTTAACAAATTGCGTTAAGCACAAACATGCATAATTTCAGAAAATCGTTATTAAAATAGCGAATAGAATAAATACTCACTTTTTCCAAACACTGACGAAGCTTAGGTTCTGCATTAGCAATATACTTGGAGTGGAATGCAAATCCCGAACTATTAACTTCTTTTGCGAATATGTTTTGGGTTTTACAAGTTTTCACAAATTCGCTTACGCAGTTGGGTGGACCTGATATTGTCACGCTATCTTCGCTATTATGACAAGCAGCAACCAAATCGGAAGGTAATCTCTTTTTAGTTTCTTCCCAAGATAATCCTTTAATTTTAAAACACTTTTAGTATTGATGTAATAAAAAAACAATATACAGTTTGTCAAGAATATAACTTCTAATATTCCAAGACGAGCCTATAATATTTAATAAATACAATATAATTGTAAAGTTACAAATGCTCGAAAAATGAAAATAATAAATAAGTATAAATGTGATCATGCCCAATGGATCTTGTTGTAACTTACATGTCACTATATAAGGATATAAAAAAAAATAGGGTCCTCCTATAGATGGGGTCTATCCTATAGATAGATATAATCGTGAGGTCGGACCATAATAGGATTTTTAGAAAAATAACACGTTAGTCAATGAAGTTAACGTGGTATTTTTTTAAATAAACAATATTGTAAATAATGTGTAAATAAATTTTTAAGTCATTGTGTGGCTCCAATACCTCGTTACATTTGATCACATACCATATGGGATGGTCTTTGAGGAGACCGTTGTCCGTACCCTATAATACTAAAGTTTTTTAAAGGAAAATAGTTAACATTTCGTGAGTTCGTTGAAGACGGAACGCAAAAGGAAAAGACAATTAGTTAAAGTTGAATTAATTGGGACTTAGTTGAAAAAAAATAATTTAAGTTACTATGAGCCAAAAAATCGAACGATCGAAAAACACCATCGGAAATAAAAGGGAAACTGAAAAAAATATATTGAGCAAAAAAAAAAAATGACACCTACGCTTTTCAAATAATGCGATGAACGCCTTCGGGTACCTACCGACCGTCCAACAAGGCGTACCGCTCAAGTACAGCGGGTAAACGTCGTAGACAAATTGCTAGTTTATGGACTAGTCAAATCCGCCAGCAGAACGCTGGAACATTCCGGAATCCAATACACCACCATCACATGACCAATATAAAAAATAGTAATAATGCTACTATGGTAATAATATAGAACGAAACGGGACGGATGGTCTGTCACACACCCGTCACCGTTATAGATCTCGATTAGGGAAAACTTTGTATGATAATAATAATAAAAATACCACAACCAGTGCTTAGAGCACGGCGCTCAAAAAAATTCGTAATTTATAAATAATATAGATATCACTCAAAACATATATATACAAAAAAAATGTATCACCAGCCACGGAGGATTAAAGAAGGGGCGACCCAATTTGGCCGACGCCATTTAATAAAAATTATATGATTAGTCGCACACGAATAAAATAATAAAAAATAAAGTGTGATTGCTCCGCACACAACATAAGTCAAAAACGGAGTGCCGTGCGAAGTGATGACGTTCCGGTACGACACGAGAGCATTGCCGGCATTATTAACTAGACAATAATAAAAAAAAAACCCATAAAATTAAATATTTATAAACCGGTGATATTATGGGCTTTGCAATACGGCGCGCAGGTGATAGGAGAGATAACGGGGTGAGTGTGCATACCAAGTTCATGATGTAACGACACAGATGAACTCGCATGCATAACAAAAATAACCGGAAATATACACCGTTCCGATACGTCGACGGCTCATTAAATAATTAAAACATCCCGTGAGATATAATTAGAAATACTATAAAATATCAAATAAGGATACACTATTGTCAAGTTACACAATGATATACAATAAAACTAAAATATACTTTTAATATACTTTAATATATTAGTAATATTCATATAGTACATAGAATAACAAAAAATTAACGTTCGTTTAATAGTATGATTTACCAATAGCAGCCATTGATCCTTTGATTAATTTAGAATCCATAATACTACGGGCTCTTAAGAATGAAGTCAATATTGTTTGTTCAAAGCTAAATGAACCATCAACATAGGCACAAATAAGTTCACCAACTGAGTGGCCAATCAGACCGTCGGCTTCAATACCGATTGCTCTTAATAAATCAACCAAGGCCACCTAAAGTAAAACTATCTTAGTTATTGGCATAAATATAAAATAAACAAATAATTACTTGCACAGTGGTTATCGATACAGCAGAGTTAAGAACATTGTCAAAAGTTGCATCATCTTTGGAATTTAGGATACTCATTAAATCTAAACCTTGACCTAGAAGGATATCAGCAGCTTTTTTAATAGTTCTGGCAAACGGTTCCAGTTGGAGAAGCCCTTCGACCATACCAGCCCATTGGCTTCCCATGCCCGAAAATATATACCACACTGATCTCTTAGTCGATTTTACTTCCTACAAAACATTATTAAACAAATAATTCCACAAAAACGGTTCAAAAAACAGAAATCAAAACTAAGCCTATAAGCCTACTCACAGATACTTCTGAAACTGATTTTCCAAGCAATGAATATCCTCGGAATTCATGTCCGTTGATATTGTTAGAATGAAGATCGTGTAACAAGGCAATAAATTCATCGTCTAATGGTGTTTCAGAAACCTAATGAAAAGCATTAACTTAACGGTGGAACCATTTGAAATATTTTATACAGATAAATCGCGTACATTTTTCAACATGTTGATAACCGCTTCCTTCGTTCTGCCAGACACAGTAATTAAACGCGGTACATTATTGATAATCGGGTTACTCGTTTTCGTTTTTGAGTTGGACTTAAGCAAGACGTGAGCGTTGGCACCACCAAACCCAAATGAGTTTAACGCCACATATTCGCCATTGAACTCCCAGTTTTTATTCACAACCTGTAAATGAAATTCTAGTTATTCGTCACAGTGCCGGCGATCATATCGTTATAAATTACTTGTAATCTGCCATCCAACAACGACGTAATGTTAGGATTAGGGGTTGCGAAATGAAGATTTGCAGGAATGCATCCCGATTCGAGAGCAATGACAATCTTCGCCAACGAACAGAGACCGGAAGCAGGTTCGGAGTGACCCATGTTTGATTTGACGGAACCGATCAACAAAGGCGACGTACGATCTTTAGTGAAAAATTCAGCAATGGAGTTCACTTCTTGCGGATCGCCGACCTAATTTTATACAAACGGGATTCATTGAACGTTAAAGTTTAACTATCGTCCTTACCTTGGTGCCGGTTCCGTGCGCTTCCACGTAAGCTACTTCTTTCGGATCGACGCCGCACTTGGCGTACACTTCGCGGATGAGTTTGTTTTGCATCGCGCCGTTCGGGAACGTGATGCCCTGCTCCTTGAAACCGTCGTTGTTCGTCAGCGCCTCGACGACCGTAGCGTAACAGCGTTTCGCCGCGCTGGCCTTCTGCAGGTACACCGTCACGACGGCTTCGCTTCTCACGTACCCGTTCCCTGATGGCGAACGGACGGGGGAAAAGTTAGTAAAAAACGTACCCTCGGACCGCCGCGGCGCGTGTCCGTTTTACCTTTCGTGTCGAACGCCTGGCACATGCCCCGCGGCGACAGCATGCTCAACTTGTGGAACTGCAACGAGCTGGTGGGCCGCAACAGTAGATTGACGCCGCCGACCACGGCCGCGTCGCACTGGCCGGTGCGCATCGCGTGCAACGCCTGCGCCAGCGCGAACAGACCACCGGAACAGGCCGTGTCCAGCGCGTAGCTGGGCCCGTTGAAGTCGAACGCGTACGACACGCGGTTGGAGAACATGGCCCGGCTGCAACCCGTCAGCCCGTACCCGTTGACGCGGTCCGGCGTCCTGTTCAGATAGTCCTCGGTCTCGCTGAGGAACGTGCCGACGAACACGCCGGTTTTCGATCCGCGGACGTGGTCGGGGTTCACGCCTGTTCGGACGGAGGGGGAACAAAAATAAATGAAAAAATATACCGTTCAAAGCGTATCCCGTCCGGTTGTCCGCTTTCGCGCGGTCCGGCTTTTCGACACCGGCAACGTAACGGATCCAAATAGAAAACGGACGACATTTTCACGTGGCCCGTTCGGTTTACGATAACGCGGACTAACGATTACGGGTCACAACTCGACACCGTACGGTTCAAATCGGTGCGGCCGTGTGCGAGTGTTTATGATTTTCAAACGATCGTTCGATGTCGTGTTATCGTGATGTTTTTCGCCTACTCCGTTTTCTATTTCAATCCGATCCGTTACCGTGTCACCGTTGAGGAAGCGAAGTGCGTGAAAGCGGCAGTAGAAAACGTCCGTCCCGGTTGGAAAATCGGCTTACCGGCGTCAACGATACACTCGTACGTGGTTTCCAGGAGCAGTCTTAACTGCGGGTCCATGACCTCGGCCTGCTTGGCATGCACTCCGAAGAAATTTGCATCGAAACGATCCAACGTTTTGAGTTTCCCGGTCCTGGCTGGGAGACCGTGCAGACCTGTTGCAGGACGATTAAACGTGAACAACATTACAAACGTTTCGCGTCATAAACATGAAGTACAGACCGCCGGGCCATCGTCGATCGTCGTCTGTGATTAAATCTATACCGGCGAATAGATTGTCTCTGAATTCAGCGATGGAATCGGATTCCGGAAATCGTCCGGAAATACCGCTGATGACTATTTCGTCCTCAGCTCCGAAGTGCAGCGAATCACCATTCGTATTGACTCTGTTAGCGGCTTGTTGTTGATTAGTCTGCGGTGATCTTACGGGCATTTTGCCTTCAGCTACTAAAAATCACGAAGAATATGAAAAAAAAAAAAAAAAAATTGATGAATGATTTATCGTTCTGAGTAGAGTCCAACTTATAATTAAATTGTACCGATGTCTTATCTATATTATCGATTGTGAAAACAATTAATTATAGCATGTTTCAAAATTTAACTGTCGATAAATAAAAATGATTGATGTCAAATGTTCTTGATTTTGAACATTAGCTTTAATTGATCAGGGTCGGTAATAATACAATCATTTAACCGTAGAAAACATAATTAATTATTTTATCAGAGTAAATTTAAATGATTCATTACCAAATCAACTTTATTCTAATCATTTCCAAGGTTCTTCAATAATAATTTAAGTTGGAAATAAATCGAAAAATAAACGTTTTAAAGAACTATTCGCGTTCGATGCCCAAACCAAAATTTTACCGTCTAACACTGTGTAGATTTCGATCCAAAAAACATTGTATAAATAAAAATGAAAATGATAAATTAAAAGGAAAATCATCATAGTAAATTCAATACATTTGTTGCTTTGCCCACCGTCTAAAATATATATATTTATTTTTATTTAGTATATATATTGTGATTTCAAGAACACCGGTTTATTTTATAAAAAATAAAGAAAACTTAATATTATTAAGTAAACAAATAAAAAATAACTCAACAATATGTACAATATCCCAATAAATTACTACGTCTTTTTATATACGAATACGAAATAACATACACATAATATATACATATAATTATAATAATACATAATATATGATTTCGCTCTTACATATAATAAACAATTACTACATACGGTTAGGAAATCCTCGATGATTTTAGGCTTGATTACAAGACATTGTAAGAATTTCACTAATCCTGCTGTTTTTAAAACATTATATTCTACTTTAGTCCGATCAAAATTGGAATACACTGTTGTTTGGTTTCCTTACTTAAATAATTAAATCTAATGTTTAGATAATATTCAAAACCGTTTCTTTCGAGTCATGGTCTTCAAATGTAATTTAACTCGTTTGCATCATTCTCCTTATGAACCATTGTAACATTATTTTCATATTGGTAGATTATCCGAACGAAGAAACATATATGATATATATTATATATATATATATATATATATTCTGTATTCCAATTAAAAAATCAATTTACTACAAAATATGTGTAATTATTGAAAATTTATTAAAAGTCATTCATAATTAACTAATTATTCAATGTTTCAAAATCCGAAATTCAAATTAAGAATAAAATCCGGATTTTTCCCATCACTTGTACAAATATTACGTACATTCTATTTTGTTATTTATCAGTCTATTTTCAGTAATTGCTATTAATACAGAAAAGGTCAAAGATAACTTTTTGAAAATTCTATAATTCAAAAAAAAATAATGTACTAAGACTAATTTTAAATAAAAAAAATCCTGAAATAGTCCGAAAGAATTAAGTATAAACATTCAGGTTTTCACATTTATAATTTTTGTTTTCTTTTCCACTTTATGTTCCACTTAATATATTTTAATTAAATTATTGTTATAATACGATTTTTAATTGAATAAAAAACGGTTGTCTACTCCAACACAAGCGATCACACACTGATCATACTACATCCTCAATATATACACAACTTAAAATAATAATACCAACACGAGACTTTTTTTTATTATGATAAAGATCTTAAGCTCTATAATCTATATTTATAAAACACAAAAATTGTTTTAATCTGTGCAATATGCATTCCTAAGCTACTTATCAATTTTGATTAAATTTGGTACAGAGATGGACCATGGAAAAGAACATAAGCTAACTTTTGTCGCGAAAAAAAGGAAAGGGAAGCCTAATAAACCTAATAAACGGTGCATCGTAACTGCACATACATCGTGACCGTTTTGTAATATATCACCTAAACTCCGCATACAAGGTTTTTTTTTCACCTTAACTTGGGCTTAGGAGGGGGGTGCAACACCTAACCTCTCCCTAGAGCCACCCCTGATAATAATGAGCTTGATGATGAGTTTGAAACTGTGCCGTCAATATCCGAAGCTCATGCTGCATTGAGGACACTAGAAAGATTTTATTACACAAAATATGAAGGTATAGATGCTGAAGGAAAAGCGTTGTCTTTATTAGAAACATCGATCAACACTAAATACACAAAGTAAAGTTCGATCAAAGATTATTTTAAGAAATTAAATTCAAATGTTCTATAATTTTATTTAAGTAATATGTATAAATCCAGTATTAATCTGGAATATAAGTAACATAAAAAAAGTCGTCGGTTTTATTTTTGTATTTCCCGCTTTTAATCAGTTACAACATTCGTTTAATAGGTGGATATTGAATACTTTTGTTTTGTTCCCCATAATTCGAATTATTTTGCGCAAGTGTTTGAGAAAAGTGTATAAAATGATCAAGGAACAAGGAAAAGTCTCAAGGCTTTTCGTTGTACTAAAACAATTACAAAAATAATTATCATAATTAACAAACCTCACTTACGCTAATACAAATATTTATGTATTTAATATACCTGTTTTCCAATAAGTTTAAATATTATGAGTAATTATTTTGACTCGCTCTGGATCGATGAAATAAAATATGATAAAGAAATGGTGATTACGTAATGTCTAGATTACCTTGTTATTATATTCTTTGACATTAATTAATATTCATGGTGGATAGATGTTTGTGCACCATCGTGACGGTCGTCGAGGATTCGCCAAGACCACCGTCGGCACCCCTCGTTTTTAACCCCACCGGTGACGCGCACCCGGTCGCCCGGGCCGTCGATCGCGGTGGTGTGTGGGGAAAAACTTGTTTTCGGTTCTGGATATTCGTTCGCGTTCGGCCGGCCGATAACTATCGTGCCTGCGCCTCCTTTTCCGTGTGTGTTGTCTTCTTAAGGTCGATTCCTTCTTTTTTGTACGCGAGTGTCGTTTGGTCGTGCGTTTTTGATCCACCACCGTTGGTCGATCTCGTTTGTGTGTCACCGCGTGTAGTGTCAACGCGTCTTTTTTTATATACTATCGACCTCGTGATCACTTATATAACTCTAATAAATATAAAAATATGCAATATGCATAAATGAACCAAAAAATGACTAACTAGTAAATATGTGGTAAAAAAGTGTTACTTTAAATTACTTTATATTATCTGATAAATACCCAGTTATGGTTGTAAATGTCTATAACCGTAGTAATTAATATCTGTAGAAGATAATACCACTATTCGTTCCACAACCAAAAATGTTATGGTATATGAAGATAAACAAAAATTGATACCCGTGATCAAATTGACATATTATTAAATTTATTATCGTATTATAATGATAGACTAGTAATTTATATTCTTAATTATTTATACATTACATTTTTTTAATAAATCAATGTATTATATTCAAAAAAAATACGAGCCATGGGGGGCGAATGCCCCCTTCACCCCTCCCTCAAATAGGCCTTGACGCGGGGATGTGGAATGTAGAATTGTTAATTAAATTGTCAATAGAATGCTTCTACACCGTTCATAGTTTGAAGTTCGTCTTATGGATATTCTTCCCATAACATAAGATTACATTTTGAATCGGGAAGTATATATGTTTCAAGTACGTACCAAAAAAAACTTTTAAGCCAATTCCCAATATTGAAATTTTTTGTTATTATACTCAAGTAATAATTGTTCGTTACTTTGAATGTGCCGATACCAACTTTGAGCTAAATTAAAAATACAAACCACAATTATACAATTGGGATATAGATTTAAATAAGCTTAGTGTGTAGATATCTCAAAATGTACATGGAACTCTTTAATATTTAGTTCTTGATTAAGCGTATGAGCATAAAGATACTGAATTGTTATCCATATTGTATTAGGATGTTGAAATTGACTTACTCTTCAAAAAACAAAAAATTACCAGTGCATAAAAATTATTTTGGCCATCTGCCTACCGAATATATATAAAATATATAATATAAATAAATATAAAATATATCTATTGTGATGTGCGCAAATCAACTATACATTTAATATAACCGTGTGGCCAAACGAGTTCTGATTTTTCAGGTGAAAATGATAGATTATGCGCTAACAAGTTGCAGCCTTTTACACCGGTATTGGCGTATACCACATGCCTATACTCCGTTCATAAAGAGAACACACGGTTTCTGCGCATTTCTCCCTTTCCACCTAGCTTTGTTTCACGAAGTGAACTTAACAAAGTCTATTTGCGATCATTGCCGACGATGAATACACCGTAATTAAAATTTGGCATATATTAGCCGTGGGTGGAGGATGCGCGACGCCGAACGAAAACTGGTCGCCGCTTCGTGTCTTTTCTTTTGGAACGGACTTTATACAAGTGAACTTGAAAAAGTAAATAAATACTTTGTGTTTATCGCTTTTATTACCATGTTTATTGTTAATGATATATCAGATAAATATATCAGATATAACAAAATTTCGCTATTTCCGTTATATTATATGGTATTTTTCAAGTTTCAGTAAAAATTAGTAAATTTGACAATGTTGCAAACAATTTCATACGCAATCGTGTTTATTCATTTTTCTTACCCACCTTTTTGCTACCCAACTACAAACATACGCAATCGTGTTGACAAAAAGGACAAATGTTCGCAATCGTATTCTACCCGCGCACACGGTGTAAAATGATAAATTATACATGATTATGGTATCATTATAGACATAATATTTTTCTCTGAGGGAATGGGACAGTTCGGCGACTTTTTGATTCAACGATTTGATAAAGGGTCGTGTACAAAATTATATTAAAATAAATCCGGAACAATTGAATATTATCGATTACTATTTCAATACGATTATCATTTGTTTGAACTTTTAACTTATAATTTGTTTATTTAAAAATTTTGTATAAAACGAATTTTAAAATAAAAAAGATAGAGACATTTTTTCATACGATGGTTTTATGTATGTTTTGGATAAAGTTAGTATTCACGGTACTACAGACGATTTTGAGGATGTCGACG